TGATATTAAGGATACAGAAATCGAGTCTGACGTTACGTATCTTGGACTAATTCTTCCTTTTGATCTATTCTGCTTTTCCCACATCTTAGCGATTCATAAATAAATATTCCATTTGACTTTTTACGTTAAAAAATTAGGGCACTCGGACTTAACTCAACCCTTCCTCTTACAATTTGTCAACTCCTGCATCTTACCTGTTCTTCTTTAATGTTCACCCTTATTTTTTCTTGGATTGCTTAAGAAAGACTATTTCCGACTTCGTGGAACTCTGAAGACTGTCAGTAGGGTGAGTGCTAAAGGGATTTTGTCAGACTGTGAGCATCCATATCAGCACCCGCAGCTTTCACCCTGCTGCATCTCCTCTGGTAGAACAAGAAGTCATTTCAAAAGATTTCACTCGAGCGCATGTCTAAGTATAAAAATTCCATGACACCATATTTGGTGGCACGTATTTTGTGTGATGAAAATAGTGTCACGGACGAACTAATTAATTAACCTTCTTTCCATTAGTAAATAAACAATCTTCTCCATCCTTATTCCACCAAGCTTTACTGTTATTATTCTTCTTATATTTAGAGTTCTCTCATTTTTTGTTTTGTTTATTTTCTCATAAGTGTAAACGTCATTTAAGCTCTGTAGTAATTTTTCAGAATTGATTTGTAAGGATTAGATTTGTTTTTCGAGTTTGACCACGGATCGAAATCAGTCAGAGAACCATTGAAAACCAGCACTGGAGTACTGGACAGCCAGCTGTTTCATCAGACTAGTTTGGAACTCATCGGTAGTACGCACCCACCCACTGTCAGGATTCGAACCCAGGACCTTCCGGTCACAAGGCAAGCTAGCTTGTAGACGATTTAGCCACTGGGACCCAACCCAATGGCCATTTCATGAATTCTAACTTCTACCAATTCGTGATTTTTAGGGCGTCCCCTCACCATGCTATGTCAAGAGAACGTTAGATTCAATACTTTATAACATGTTAAAAATCTCCATGCTGTATCGACATTACCGTTTGAAACAAACCCACTATTATTATTATTAGAGTTATTATTCTCATTTTGTACTTTGCACATTTTTAACATTATTCCCGCTGTAAATGTGGACGAATTCCAGTGGTTACTTTTATTTATGGTGTTTTGAGTATATTAGATGCAATATTGTGACAAATGCTGAGAATTCTATGCCCTAGCATAAGTACTGTCTGTTTTGGAATTATTATTATTGGTATTATTCCCCTGGGTTCCAAGTGGAACATACGGCTTCTACAACACATCTCCACTTTCTGCTGTTTTCTGCCGTCCTCTTCGGCTGGCTGAGGCCACGATTGCCCATAATCTGTCATCTCCTCCATGCCACCCTCGCACTGACCACCCACTCATCGCTTCCCATTAGGATTCCACTCGAGTGATGGTCTACATTGCGTGCGATGTCATTCGATGGCCTCCTCAATGGCGTGTATGCCTAACCAGTTCATTTCCATTTTCTCCTGAATATGTGTTGAGCAATCGGCTCTTGCTTTGTTGGTTTGTTCATCGCCAGAGTTTCTTGTTACTAATTCTTTCTCGCCATTCGATCTTCAGTACGGAGGTGGCCAGCGAAGTGGGCAGCTTGGTTACAGGATTTCATCATGAGCTGACATTGGTTAGAGAACCATTGGAAAACCAGCTGGGAGTACTGGACAGCTGTTTCGCCCTAGTTTGGGACTCTTCATCAGTACTTACCCAGGACCTTCTGATTACAAGGCGAGCCAGCTCGTAGACCATTAACCTACTGGGACCCTATCCAATGGCCAGTGCATGAATTCTAACTTCTACCAATTCACGACATAGCGCGACCGCTAGCCAATGTCTTCAGCGAGTGGGGAGCTGTTGATTAAAGTCTCAAACTGACTGTTGAAAATGCTTTTCGTGACTGACTCACTCACCTGTAATGAAGGACCAACTTGACATTGGTGTTGAATAGAATCTGAATCTTGTTCTTTTCGCTGGCTAGCTGAGTTAGTGCAGAAGATTTCTAGACTAGTTTCAGGTTGATGAGGGCGTATCTTGCCTTTCCGATTCTGGCTGGCTGGCTACCTGGCTTTGACATCTTCATCCATTGGATGAACAGTGGTAGGTTATTATTAATATTACTTTACTTTATTTCTCTGATTTCCTCTTTTTCTGATTTCCGCTTTTTTCTTTTCTCTGTATAGAAAATGTCAATATAACCTTTAAAACAAAACAAAAAAAGGTAGAAATGAGTTCAATAATATCATATAATCCTGTTGTTAATGATCATACAACAATCAATATGTTTAAATCACCCAATGAAACTAACCCGGGTTATACAAATAATAACAATAATAATAATAGCAGTTCAATGTACAATATAGATTTATTACAATGGCAATTGAATACATCAGATAACTCAGTTAATCATCAGTTTAAATCATACCACCGTAAGTTGAGTGAATAAAAAAAAAGAAAGAGAAATTAATTATTTTTTGCACTTAAAACTTTTATACATTTTGTTCCCCTGGTATGAATTTGAATAAAGCAAGAACAACAACAGTGGTGGTTTGTGCAGAATAAGAAGATGGTACCATCCTTTGTTTATTTCGTTGGCTTCTCATCAGCTGGGCACTGTGGCGGTAGCGTATAACTCCGTTATGGATAAGATTTAATTTTGATAAATCACACAGTATTATACAGTAATATTAACTGATGACCACGTATCGAGCACAAATTATGACTGCAGCTCATAATCATATCAAGTCACTCACACAACTTTCTTGCTTCCTTTATATACATGTGTGGAATTGAGTAGATATTAGACATTTGAATAAAACTCAGTATAGGATAATGTACCTTCAGAAATAATAATATGAGTGTTATTAATCAAATACAATCAGATGGGAAATAAGACGAGTGTTTTTATAGTCAAAATAAATAAGTAACTTGTTAGAATGTTGTGATGTGCTTGAATTGGAATGGAATTTTGAGATTATTTGTTATCCTCCTCTAATTTGACTGACTGGTGGTAATAATATCTTCCATGCATATTTCTGGTATTTGAATTGAGTCATTTCTTTTGCATGTGTTGAGTGTAGATTTACTCGATGAACAAGGATTCAGTAATCAACCCTCTCTCGCTCTCCACCTACCTAGATTACTTTTTAGAAATTTAACCCTTTCCCACCCCATTGTGTGGTTGTGTGTTAATGCGTGAAGTGCAATTGCTATTGAGCTTTTTTCTAAATTACGTATCTTCTCAGAAATTGCACTTCACGCATTAACACACAATCACACAATCGGGTAGGTGGACAGAGTCGAAATTCTAAAAAAGTAATATGGGTAGGTGGAGAGAGAGCTTGATTACTGAATCCCAGTTCATCGAGTCTACACCCAACACATGCAACAGAAATGACTCAATGTAAATAACACAGATATGGAAGAAATTATTACCACCAGTCAGTCAAATCAAAAGAGGATAATAAGTAATCTTAAATTGTATTCTATTTCAATTCCCGTACATCAAGACATTCTAACAAGTTACTTATTATAACTATAAAATCACTCGTCTTATTTTCCATCTGACTGTATTCGATTAATAACACTCATATTATTATTATTTCTGAATGTACATTATCCTGTATTGATTTTTATTTACATGTCTAATCATCAATTTCACTCATGTATATAAATGAAGCAAGAAAGTTGTGTGAGTTAGTGATGTGATATTGTGGTGAGAGCTGTCTACTAGCTAAATTGGTAGACAGTAATTTACGTCGATGTTTACGTTCTCAAGATTTGTCGTGTGAAAATATGAACAAAGACTGATTCAAAAACTGACCACAGCAGACTTTGCGTAGGCGGATACAGTTAACATATGGATGATCTGACATTCAAGAAACAGTCACAAAGAGATGAAGGATTAACTTTAAGTGAGAAACAACCAATCAGAAGACTGTGTTTGTTTGCTTAACTAATCTATAATAATGTACATGAAAATATATAAATATGCTTTGATTTCCTTAATAAACGATCTGTAGCCTGGCCCTTGTCTTCTGTTGTTACAATATGACTATGAGTGGCAATAATTTGTGCTTCAAAGGTGGTCATCAGTTAATTTTACTGTATAAAACCGTGTGAATTTATCAAAATAAAGTCTTATCCATAATAGAGTTCCCATCAGCTGCTTACAGGCCAAAGTCATTATTAAGAATATCTACAGAAACAATCTTTACATACTTACCCACACACAGTTCATTTTTAAACAAAAATCAATCAGTCAATATATGCATGCAGTAATAATATATATAATAATAAGCACTTTATCCCGAACAATAATGATCATACACAATGGAAATTTTCGGCATTTCGTAGTCACATGAAAGAGAGGATGGAAATATCCAGCTACTAGGTGGGCAAAGCAAGACTGATAACTGCTTTTTTCTGAACGCATAAATCAGGTTTCACTACACACTCATCGCGAGAGTTCGAAGCGAGGACCTTCTGGTTACAAGGCGAGATAGGTCGTAGACCATTAAGCCACTGGGACCCAACCCAGTGGCCAGTCCATGGATTCTAATTTCCGACAATTCAAGACATAGCGCGACCGGTTCGCAGTGTTTTCTTTGACGACTAAGTGTCCTCACCTTCAACCTGCTGTACCCTACTGGTCACGGCTTTTCACTAGAACCCACTAAGGTAACTACCTACCTACCTACCTGAATAGGACCAGTGTCTAGTGAGCATCAGATCAATTTTTAATTATTGGCTTTTGTAGGGATTTTGTTTGATTGGTTGAAGGATTTCATCATGGGCTTAATGGTCTATGAGATAGCTCGCCTTGTAACCAGAAGGCTCTGGGTTCGAACCCTGATAGTGGGGTGGATGCGTACTGCTGAAGTGTCGCCAAATAGGTTGACGAAACAGCTGGCTGTCCAGTACTCCAGTGATGGTTTCCAAATGGTTCTCTAATTGATGTGTCAGCTCATGATGAAATCCTCCAACGAATCAAACATGAAATGCCTACAAAAACCAATACTTGAAAATTATATAATATCTTATGTTTGTTTATTCAACATAATCATGCCTACATATATATTCATGTATATTATCAGATAAACACAAGAAGGATCATATTCGTGAAAATATTCGTCGTTTAAGAGAATTAGAAGAGCATATGGCAGTCAAGCGATGTATGGAACAATCGAGTGCATCAAATGCTGCTACAGATCGTACACAAAATAGCCATAAATGTACCAAAATTACAACATCATCATCATCATGCCACAATCATTTACCACCTGTATCGATGAAAAAGTCTACACATGAGGTAAGAAAAAATGACATGGAATTATTTTATTTTTGTCAGCATTTTTATGCTAACATTTCTGCTAAATTTGTTAAAATAAATTTGGGTGAAGTGATTTATAAATTAGTTTACGTACTATTGTAACGACAGAAGACAAGAGTTAGGCAACAGATCGTTTATTGAGGAAATCAACAGATATTTACAGATTTTTATGTACATTATTATTAGCGTTATTGTTAGCAGAGAAACAGCGTCTTCTGATTGGTTGTTTTCCTGCTGAAGGTTATTCTGTCATCTCGTTGTGGCCGTTTCCTAGATAGTTAGGCCATAAGTCTGCGAATTGTATCCGCCCACGCAAGGCTTGCTGTGATTGGTTGTTGAGTTGCTCAAGGTTAGGCTTTGTTCTTGTTTTTTCTCATGACCCCGATTTGGGACGTAATATTATTATTATTCCTTTGGGTTGCTTGTGAAACATAGGGCTTCAAATGCACGTATTCACTTGCTTCTTTCTTCTTCTGTACTTTTCACCTGCATCCTCGTCACACGATCTCCTCCATGTCACCCTTGGACGCCCCACTCGCCGCTTCCCTTTCGGGTTCCACTCGAGCGTTGGCCTGACGCCCGATGTCACCCAGTGGCCTCCTCAGCGAGTGTCCAATCCATCTCCACTTTCTCCTGCATATTTGTTGTTTGGCGATTGGTTCTTGTTTTGTTTCTTCCCATAGTTCCTTGTTGGTGATTCTTTCCGGCGGCCATCTGATCTTAGGTATAGAGCGAAAACAGCTGTTGATAAAGGTCTGCAACAGGCTGTTGGAAATATTCTTGATGACCTGCCAAGTTTCTGATCCGTAGAGAAGAACTGACTGACTTGACGTTTGTATTGAAAATCCAAATCATTTTGTTGTTGATGCAGGCTGAGTGACGAAGATTTCCAGATTGGTTTCAGGTTGATGACGTAAATTGTTGCTTACAATTTTGACCAGCAGACTGCTGTCACCACATACCACCTACTATGACGTTCGAAGGTTGTTATATTGTGGAACAATGTTCAAGGCTCTTCAATTTTTGATAATATCAGTAGTAGTGTATCGGTAGAAGAAGAAAGACAACGTAAGAATTTGGTATCTCAATATCGCCAAATTATGTACACCCTATCCTCAACGCACCATTTGCACAAATCTTCCGTGTAGTGCTACTTCTGGGCTTCATATCGTGTGTGTTTCTTTATGTTCCTTTCACGTCTCCCATGTATCTCCGCAACGCTGTATCATTGGCTTTCTCTGACATCAAATATATCTCCCTGGTATTTGATTTTTTATGTATATACTACTGATAAATCTTATTAGTAGCACACTCTACAGTAGTACTAGTAGTAGTGCTAGGTTGCGTAATTGGTTCAGTAGTGTAACAAGAGAAGACAAGGGCCAGGCAACAGATCGTTTATTAAGGAAAATCAACACAAATTTATAGATTTTAATGTACATTATTGTAGATTATTGTTAGTAGAAAATACGGTCTTTTGATTGGTTGTTTCTCACAGAAAGTTAACCTTGCATCTCTTTGTGGCTGTGTCAGATCATTCATATGCCAACTGTGTCCGCCTACGCAAAGCCTTTGTTCTCATTTTCTCACTACCAATATTGGGGACATAAACATTGACGTCAATTAGTGTCTACCAACTTTGGCTAGCAGCCAGCTCTCACCACAGTAGTAGATAGCTCGCCAGCTGTACATGTAGTCCGCGTTCGATTCCCAGCCGATGCATTCCTGATTATTACCTAACTAGTAGGTAAACCCAGAAAAGAGAAAAGGTTAGGTGTGGGGTTAACAATGCAATGCATTCACTTGTATATAATCATATAATGGAGTGGGATAGAGTAAAAGTGTGGTGGTGTGATACAGACAATGTGTTCCAACAGAATATTCTCACAGTTCAATACTGCAATAGCGACAGAATACTATATGTATATTGGAACATTCTGTTACAACTTGTTAGAGTGGTATAATGTGAATTGAAATAGAATTTTAAGATTATTTATTATCCTCCTCTGATTTGACTGATGGAAATAATATCTTTCATATCTCTGGTATTTGCGTTTAGTCACTTTTATTGCATGTGTTGGGTGTAGACTCGATGACTCTGTCCTACCCTAATGTATGGTTGTGTGCAATTGTTGACCTTTCTTCTAAATTACCCGTCTGTCGTCTTGGGATCAGTCACTCTAACCTTAGCCACTAAATTCGTATCTTCTGATAATCTGACTACTCCCGATCTACTAGTTTGACCTATTTAGTTCGCCTAACTCACAGTCATTGCAAGGTATTTTGTAAATTATATTATTTTGTTTAACTGGACCAACCTACAGGGTCCTTTAGTCTACAGAACTTGTCCTACCTGAGTGAGTTTGTAGGTATGAATGCCACCATAATTCCTGCTTTATTTAGAATCCTACGTAGGGGTGGTGTCAGATATCCCCTCCTTATATGGTTAAACTACTGTAGATGCCTTATATTCTCTCTTATTTATGATATCATTACTAGTTTCACCATTATTTCTATTTTGATTTTGACCTTATTTGATCTTTCTAATGAATTTTATAGGACAGTTATTTGTCACCAACCAACTATTCTTCTATCTGTTTCATTTCATTACTTAGGTGATTTGTGGTACAATGTAGTGCTTAATTCCCATCGTATAATATTGTATTGATAACACTAATATCGTTTCCGAATACCCTGTATCTTCCTTTCTGCTTCACGCATGTTCATTGAACTTTTATTGATCTTTATTCATATGTCTCATCAATTTTTCCTCATGTATATAAAGGAAGCAAGAAAGTTGTGTGAGTAATGCCTTGAAATGATTATGAGCTGTAGTAATAAATTGGCGTGCTCGAAACGTGGTCATCAGTTAATATTACTGTATAACACTACACTACATAAGACTTTATCAAAATAAAAACTTTCCTCCACAATGGAATTATACTCTACCGCCACAGTGCCCAAGTTTTATTCTTAAATCAGTGATGAGGTTTTTTTCACAAATTGTTGATTATGTAATCAGAGTTATTACTGCATAGTTTTGAATAATTTTTCTTCCCTAACTTCCCTTATTATCTGTCACTTGTGGATAACATTGAAGGGTGTAAATGGAATTCCGTCTATCTTTTTTGGTAGAATCTAGAATGAAAATTTCATCCCACTTGGGACTCGTCAGCTAGATGTACTTGGAATCCCCAGTAAGTGGATGTTGATGACGGTGGTAGTGTTGTCACTGAGACTTGAATGCAGCATTTATCGTTTCGAACACGCCCAAGTGTTCTCGATCAGACTACTTGGGCTTGGAATTTACATTAATGCATCAAAGAACAATCACTTATCATTTATGTTTTAACGCTTAGTAATTTCCCTGTTTGAACAAAGAAAGAAGAAGCATTGGCGCAGAATAATCTGGATCCATTTTATTTCGTCGGTTCTCATCAGCTGCGTACAACCTGAATTCTTTAATAAAATAAAAAAGTGTACAATTTTAACAAACTTTTGTCCATTAGCAAGCATATTGTCACAGCGTCATAGTGAAATAAGGCGTTGCGATTAACAAGGTGTCTAAAGTGTTATATATATATATATCTTGTTAGAGAGAAGAATCTTGAAAAAAAAATTGATTAACAGTTGTGTTGTGGGGGTGGTAACAAAAGACAATTAGTAATAGTTACGTAGTTAGATAAGAGAAGATCGAAATTTCGGTGCACTTGAGGTCAGATGAGAAGTTGAAGATGTAATACAGTGAGCAGAAATCAGAAGATCAAGAAAAATTATCTCTTAAGAGAGTCAAGCGAAAAATAAAGGGTGGCGGGAGTGAAAAGATAAGTTAACAAAATTAGAAAACAAAGAGTTACTAAGACAGGGTAACTGAAGTCCAACAACGGATTCTTTTTGGACAGATAAATCAGGCTTCAATCGTTTTATTGCTATAGCTTCAGCAAACCTGAGAAGACTTGAGGTACTTTCGTAACAAAAGAAGACAAAGGCTAGGAAACATAACGTTTATTAAGGAAATCAACATATATTTATATATTTTCATGTACATTATTATAGATTATTGTTAGCAGGAAAACACAGTCTTCTGATTGGCTGTTTCTCACTGAAAGTTAATCTTTCATCTCTTTGTGGATGTTTCTTGAATGTCAGATCACCTATATCGTAACTGTATCCGCCTACGCAGTCTGATGTGGCTGGTTGTTGAATTAGTCTTTGTTCATATTTTTCCCACGACCAATATTGAGGACGTAAACATTGACGTAAATTACTATCTACCGATTCGGTTAGTAGCCAGCTCTCACCACTCTTTGTCTGTTAATTATTTCGAATGATTCCAGCACATCTACTCGGTGTCCTGTGTCAACCAGGTGTTTGGTGGCGATTGAAGAGCTTAAACAATTCAGTCCCTTCAACCGGGGGCTTCTTGGTACATGTTCGCAGAATCTGACGTAAGCCCTCCTCTCTGTTCTTCCAATATAACTGCTCCCGCAGATACACGTGAATTGGTATACACAGTTGGAGGTGACATGTGAAGGGTACTTGGCAATCTGTGACTGCACCAGTGAAGAGGTTGTTCGGGATAGAGAGACTAATAATGCTGCAAGAAGGATACGTCCTAGACAGGGCTGCGCTTAATCTTTTATTTACCATTCTCATAATACCGTCGCCCTTGTAGTCGAGTTTGATGAAAATAGGCTTCTTACTGGCTGTAGCTGTATCAAGCTTCTTGAATTCATTCTTGCCATATTTGTTAATGAAACTTTGTGGGTAACCATTTTCTTTCAAGCATTTTTCAAGAAGCATTAGTTCACCTCATAGTTTGTTTGGTGAACATATTCTCTTTTCACCAGCGTTCGTTTGTATATCACTATACATATATATATATATATATATATAAATATATCGTAACACTTTAGACACCTTGTAAATCGCAACGCCTTATTTCACCATGACGCTGTGACAATAAGCTTGCTAATGGACAAAAGTTTGTTAAAATTGTACACTTTTTTATTTTACTAAAGAATTCAGTTTGTACGCAGCTGATGAGAACCGACGAAATAAAAAAATGGATCCAGATTATTCTGCACCAATGTTTCTTCTGTCTTTCTTGAAATTTATAAAAGGGAATCATTGTATGAAATTTCCCTGTTTCCCTCTTTTTTCTTCTTCAAATTTTAGACTAAAATTAACCCACCAAAACAATCATCTATTGAACAAGATAATCAAAATGATTCATTTAAACAAATTCATCGTTGTTTAAGTGATGATACTGATGAAAGTCAAAACACCATTCAGTCATCATCAGTAGCAGAGAATGTGCAGAATCAAACAGTTAAATCCACTGAAACGCAATATGACTTCTCAACTTCTGATAATCAGCTCACTTCAATACCTTCAAAGTATTCTTCGACACATACACAAATTGATACACCTATAAATCGATTAACACAAACAATACCTATACATACTATCAATTCAGAATACCAACATAGCTTAACAAAACGTCCAGGACAATATTATCAACGTCCACCTGTACTGCCGGTTAGCAATAGATCTGATAAAAGATATCGAACAATTGCTACATCAACAACAACACAACCACATCCAGCAAATCGAACTGTCAGTAGAGGGGATTATTTACGCGCGCATACACGTGATGTCGAAGATGACGTGGACTTGAAAATACTGAGCAATATACCTATTACACCAATACACAAACAGGTGAATTCAGTGAAAACTTCCGTACCAAAAGCGGAATCAGCTAAAAATGTAAGTTCAGTTCATGTGTGTTTCCAGTTGGATGTAATGACTCTTGACTAGTTCTTTTTCTTTTCCTTTATTTTGATTGTTTGTCTCTCTGTGCTCCAGAATTCGAAAAATTTGCTCTGTAGATACAATCGACTTGGAATTAGAAAGCCTTTTTGTACAACTCTTCTAAATAATGGATATCCTAGAAGGTTTAATAATAATAATAATTCTTTTCCTTCACGTTCCCCAGTGTAACATAAGGCTTCAAGCTAGTGGCTTGAAGTTTCTGTAGCAGTGTTTATTTTACAGGATGAAGTTACTAGCCTCATGCCCAACCTTCCCTCTTCACCAGTATTATTTCTGGCTTAGCGACGTAAAGGAGTGTTTCGGCCGGGGATCGAACCCCGGACCATCTGCATGGTTGGCGAGCGTCCTAACCCCTATGCTACCAACACACAATAATAATAATAATCTACTTTATTCCAAAAACAGTACTTATAATACAGAATGGAATTCTCAGCATTTGTCACAGCACCTTGCATCTGATTTACTCAAAATATAAATGAAATTAAAAATTAAAACGAAATTAACTGGAGGAATTTGTCCACATTTACGACATAATTATTAGATATAATAATAATAATAACAGTGAGTTTGTTTCAAACGGTATTGTCGATTCAGTTTGGAAACTTTAGCATGTCATAGATGATATAGAATGGTGAGGGGAAATACAAAATTAACAGTTATAACACAGCTTAAATTATGTCCACACTTATGAAAAAAATAAAAAAAAAATTGAGAGGATTATAAATATAAGAAATACAATAACGATAAAGTTTAATGCTTTAAGGGTGAAGGAAATGGTTTATTTAGTGGTGCTAAGATGGTTTGTTCGTTCATGTCTGACACTATTTTCATCACATAAAGTACGTGCCGCCAAATATGGTATAGTGGAATTTTTATACTTAGATGTACGTGCATAAATTCTTCTGAAAAGACTTCTTGTTTTACCTGAAGAGGAGACACAAGATTGGCGCTGCGGGTAGAGGAGGTGCTCAGAGTCTGACAAAATTCCTTTAGCGAATTTGTTGCATGACATCAAGTGCCTATCAGTGACAATATCAACGATATGGCCCAATGGGATACCACTCGTCCTACTGACATTCAGAGTTCTACAAAGTATGACATAGTCTTTTTAAGCAATCCAGGAAAGAATAAGGATGAACAGTAAAGATTATTATTATTATTGTATCCTTTAATTCATAGAGGAACATAGGGCTTCAAGCTAGTGGCTTGAAGTTTCTGTAGCCAACAGTAAAGAAGAATAGGTAAAATACACGAGTTGACAAACTGTAAGAGGAGGAGGGGTTCGGTTATGCCTGAGTGCCTTAACTTCTTAATGTAAAAAGTCAGACGAAATATTTTCTTAGAAATCGCTAAGCCATGGGAGGACCAAGATAGGTCAGAAGAGAGAACTAATCCAAGATACTTAACTTCAGACTTGCTTTCTATATCACTATCATCAATTTTGCAACGGTCATAGGAACCAACAGCTTCACTTAATTTTTTTTTACATCGGAAACTAAAATTAACAGTCTGACATCTGGAAGGATTAAGTTTAAGACCATTAGACAGTGACCATTTGCCTAACTCCTGATAGAAAGCTGTACACCTTAATACAATCTAGCTGAGAGTTAACAGACATTGAAATAGTTAGATCATCGGTATACTTAACAAAGTTCATTTCATCATCAGAGTAAGGCAAGTCATGCAAGAGGAAAGAAAGAAAACAGAAAAGGAGAAAGGACAGCACCTTGAGGGACAGCAGCCTCAGTAGGCAATGAAGTGGACGACTTTCCCTGACATACAGTGTACTGCTTTCTTCCTGAGAGATAAGAATAATAAGCCATCTGACAACCCAACACTCAGTTTGAGTTTCAGCAAGCTTGTTTAGCAAAATGTCCCTAGGTACTGAGTCGAAAGCAGATGTATAATCTAGAAAGGTGCAGTGAACAAATTTAGCCAACAAATTTATCGACAGAAGCATCAAGAAAGAAACCGTGCTTAGCCAAATCACAGTGTCAAAGAAGACACTGTTTATGAGTTTGGCGTTCAAAGGTGACACTGTTGCTGAAGTCATTAAAAGTCGTTTATCTGAATGCATTAAACGCTCTTTTTATACAGCTGTCTTACATTTGGTATTTACCAGCCGAAATATGATTCGACAATGCGTCAAGGATAAACTACTGCTTATATCCCCCTCTATGTTTACATAAATTCATTCACATGGTCGTGTGGAGCTGATTACATTGGACATTGTGGGCGTGTTCTCCGTTAACGCGTAGCTGAACACTACCACCCGGTTTGGTTAATGAAAGGTGAGCAAAGGACGACGAAGTCTACAATTCGTGAAAACTTTCTGAACTCAGGTCACCATTCAGAACCCCACACGTGATTTATCCTTCAAAGTTATCTACAGGACCAAATCCAATCACTCCAAAAGCTTACATTTTCTCCACTTATGCATAGCCAGCAGAAGCTCTAGCTATACATGGACAGAAACCTAAATTATGTATTCAAAAACGTTTTGTTAAACGCCTTTCTTTACCTTGGTCATAGTGGAGGTGGACATAAGCGTTAGTTTATCCTTAACGCATTGTTGAATCATATTTCGGCTGGTAAATGCAAAATATGTAAGTTAGCTGCATAAAGACAGCGTTTAATACAGACAGCATGTAGATAAACAACTTTTAATTACTTCGACGACAGTGCCAACTTTGGACGCCAAACTCATAAACAGTGTCTTCTTTGGCACTGTGATTTGGCTAAGCACGGTTTCTTTCTTGGTATCCATTATTTAAGAGAGTTGTGTGGAGGTTTTCTAGTTCTGTGTCGACCGCTTCTACTGTGAGCAGATTTTCCGAATTCTGGAGCTTAGAGAACGGATAAGATTACCCTTCCTACCTGGAGGTTACTGAACTGTTGAATTTAGTGTACTAACCTGTAAATACTGGCTTTCGATAAGTCGATCTTTTTAAAATGCCATCCTCTCTTTTATCTAACATCACACTTAAGAAGTGAAAAGCATCGGTGAGTGAGAATCATTAAGTTTTTCAACAAGCTCGGCAGTTGACACAGCTGTCGTTATTAATAATGAAGGTGTCGTCAATATATCGCTTATTCATATGCAAACTCGAGATTTTTTCTTTCAATCGACCACTCTTTATCTTGGTCATAGTAATGTTTCTTTCCTATTTTATTCTAGGTTACTACTTGAGTCCATTCCACATCTTCACTTCACCTTCGCCGTCTTTACTGCTATCATCATTGTACTCTTGGATTTTTTAGACAACACCTGACCTACTATTTTAAAATCTTTGTACGAGTTCACTTATTTAATAATCTTTAAATTTTTTGTAATTCATTCACTTCAACTCTACCTCACTTAATAAGTCGTTTTAATTATCGTTATTCTTATCATCATATTATTGTTATTATTATTGTTTCCTTTAATTCCTAGAGGAACATAGGGCTTCAGCCTTGCGTCTCCATTGCGTTCGGTTCTCTGCTAGAGTCTTCACCTGGCTCCAAGTCTGCCCACACGTTTTCATCTCCTCTTCACATGACCTCCTCCAAGTCACCCTTGCACTGACGACCAACTTGCCACTTCCCTTTCGGGTTCCACTCGAGCAATGGCTTGTCTAGTGATGTCACTTGATGGTTTCCTCAGAGTATGGCCAATCCATCTCCATTTCTTCCTGCATATTTGTTTCACAATTGGTTCCTGGTTGATTCGCTCATTGCCAGAGATCTCTGTTGCTGATCTTTTCTAGCCGGCCATCTGATCTTGAGTATTGAGCGAAGACAGCCGTTGATGAAGGTCTGTAGTTTGTTCGAAGTGGCCTTCGTGACGCGGAACTGCGCCAAGTCTCTGATCCGTATAGTGAGTAGCACTGACCTCACATTGGAGTTGAAAATCCGGATCTTATTTTTGATGCTGAGTGTTGTTGACCTCCACACAAACTTGAGAGTAGTGAAAGCTTGTCTTGTTTTTCCGATTCTTGCTTTGATATCCTCGTCGGTTCCGTTCTCCTGTAGTTGAAACGATGCTTCCCAGGTAGGTAGGTAAAAGAGGTTGTTTCTTTCAGGTTTCTCCCATTTATGCTGACTGTTGTTGTTGCTGTTGGTGGTGTTGCCCAGGAATCTTCATTACCTATGTTTTCTCTATGTTTACCTGAACTCCTATCTTTGATGCTTCTTCTGCTAACTTGTTGCTTTTCACTTGCATATCTTCCAGTTTGTGGGAAATCAGACATATATCATCGCCGAAGTCCAGATCCTCCAAGTATTTTGTGTGAGTCCATTTTATGCCTGTTTCCTCATTGCTCGCTGTTTGTCGCATTATCCAGTTTACTGCAGTCAGGAAAATCATAAGCGATAGTAGGCAGCCTTGTCTTACTCCCGTATTCACTTCGAAGGATTCCGTAAGTTTCCCGTTGTGGATTACTTGGCATGCAGCATTGTCGTACAGCTGTTGGATGAGCTGTATAATTATATTAACTGAGCAATTTTTATTGACACTTGATGCCTTTTTCCGTAATATAAATACATCTGGGTACAGTTGGCTTGAAAATGAAGTCGTTGAAAAGAAATAGTGTTTCTTCGCTCAGAAAAAAAGCGCTGTGTTTTCTCGTATGCAGTGATTGTACTTTTATTAATATATGTTATCAACTTATGTAAATTTATCAGTTGATAAAGGCATTAATGGGCTGATTGGTCCTAATGAAAGCAGGCTGAAATCAACTAATTAGAAAGCCAATAGTTCGCCTACACATGCGTAGGCGGTATTCTTTTGGTGGACGTCTAACAGTTGAATCCAGGATGCACTTATCGTTATACATGAGGCTCGTCAACTGAAGATACTTGCCTTCACAGTAAATGATTGTGTTCTCATTAAGACTCGAACCCTGAACTGTGGCCAGTAAAAGAGGATTGCAGAGGACAGGACAGAGTGGACATGTACTGTTGAATCTCCACGCTCCACTCAGAAGTCTGGGGAATAACGATAATAATAATAATTGATTGCCCCTCCTTACCAAGCACTCGACACCTAACCTCTATATTGCTCATCCTATTATACCATTTCACACGGGAAATAGAACGCAGACGCCTATGAACAAAGACAGCTAACCAGCCAGGCTTTTCATGTCTTCCATTTTCAATGGCCATGTCTCACAGATAACAGGAGAACGGAGCAAAGTGACTGCTGAGCAGTACACACGTCCTTTGGTTGACAGCCAGCCAGCCGAATATCACGTCTACTTAGCCAGAGATGCCGTATGTTGGCATATGCCAAACGAACCTTCTGTATCCATGCTGAGATTCCATCAACGATCAACTCATTGACACTGGCTGGTTGATGCAACTCCCCAAATAAGTGAAGTGGTCAACCCGCTCCCTTACCTCACTTCTCTCTGTTTTTAAGATGGGAATGGGTTGATGTGCTCGAATCCTGTGGCATTATCCTACATTTATCGGGGCGAAACTCATGCCAAACATTTGAAGATTGCTCACTGCGCAAGGTGTTCAGAAGATTCTGCACTATTTTGTTAGAGTCTACACCTAGGAGGCAGGACTATATCATGCGCATATTCTAAGCCAATGAGACTACTATTCCATGATGGTAACAAGTCAATCCCTGAGTCTCTGAATTCAGTGAGAGTTAGGCCCATTAGCACATCTATGATTAGATTAAACAGAAGTTATGGAGACAGTTGGCATCCCTGACGGACACCACTAGCTGTCACCACTTTAGATGACAAAACTCCGTCTGTTCTCACCTGGTTGACTGCATGAGTTCGCGTAGAGTGCCTTGATCAATGCGATGTATTTTTCCAGCATTCCCCTTACAGCTAAACATCGCCATGGTACCTCTCGGTCGACGGAATCAAATGCCACTTTCATTTCTAGAAATATGACGATTGTTGGACCTCCGACGGTAAGTATGCCTATGTTCTAGAATCTGTCGAAAGGTTAAGATAAGATCAATACACCCTCTTTCTGGTCGACAGCCTGCCTGATTTTCTCGTGTTTGTTCCTCTCTAGCACCACTTAGTCTACGCATGATTATTCATTACTTTCAAGCTGGATTTTGTCACAAACCGACCTTTGTTAGAAGGAATCACTAAAAACACGAAAGAAATGGTTGGTCGCTTTGTCGTAGTTCTGGGAATCACCTTCAGAATTACACTTACCCATGACCTAGATTAAGATTGATTGGATGGAGGATTTCATCATGAGCTGACATCAGTTAGGGAACCAATGGAAAACCTGGGAGTACTGGACCGCCAGCTGTTTCGTCCTAGTTTGTGACTCTTCAGAAGTACGCACCCACCGGGATTCGAACCCAGGACCTTCTGGTTACAAGGCGAGCTCGTAGACCACTGAGCAACTGGGACCCGATCCAATGGTCCTTGAATTCTGACTTCTGCCAATTCATGACATAGCGCGACCATTTCGCAATGTCTTCTTTGATGAGTTATTGCCTCATCTTCAACCGATTTCTTTTTTACCTTGTTTATTTGTAGGTTGAATTCATTCGACGTGATATTAATTTTGTACGTGCTAATGCTCATTTAGCCTCAGTGCCAAGTTTAAAAGGTACACCAGGAATTCGTAGAATATCTAGCCTGAACTCCTTATCGACATCGTCATCATCGATATTAAATGACAAGGTGGTCTATCCACAGCATAGCAGCAGCGTTAATGATACAAAAATGTCAAAATCTGTCACATCACATACAACAACAACAACAAAAATGTGGCCTGAAAGACGTTTAAAAGTTGGTGTAGTTCCACAATAGTAAGTTTAACAATGGTTTTTTATAAATTGTCTCTTTCATTACTTTTTATTGTAATTATAAAAAAACTATTATTATATTCTTTTAATATATTTGTGCGTTGAAGTTTCTCAAGCGATTTGGTTAAGTTTTGGGGGTGGAGTTGCTAGCACCACGCCCCAACCCTCCCTCTTTATCCGGGCTTGGGACCGGCTAGAAAACTAGTGAGCTACTGATCTAGGCGAGCGAAAACCGACAAACTGGTCGAAGAAGCAGCCGGTGGAGACAGGACTCCAGGTGAACATAGACAAGACGGAGGTTATGAAAATAAACAACCAACAACAACAACAGCAGCAGCATCAACCGCCAACCACCATCAATGGGAGGGATTTGAAAGAGGTTACTTCTTTCACTTATCTAGGGAGCATTGTCTCAACTACTGGAGGAACGGACGAGGATGTCAAATCGAGAATCGGGAAGGCGAGAAACACATTCATCAACCTGGAACCAATCTGGAAATCTTCGTTACTCAGCCTGCATCAACAACAAAATTCAGATTTTTAATACAAACGTCAAGTCAGTCAGTTCTTCTATACGGATCAGAAACTTGGCGGGTCACAAAGAATATTTCCAACAGTCTGTTGCAGACCTTTATCAACAGCTGTATTCCTTCTATACTCAAGATCGGATGGCCAGAAAGAATCACCAACAAGAAACTATGGAAACAAACAAAACAAGAACCAATCACCCAAAAAATATGCAGGAGAAAGTGGAGATGGATTGGACACTCACTGAGGAGGCCGCTGGGTGACATCGCGCGTCAGGCCAGTGCTCAAGTGGAACCCGAAAGGGAAGCGGCGAGTGGGATGTCCAAGGGTGACATGGAGATCGTGTGAAGAGGAATTAAAACAGTATGGATTAACATGGATGCAAGTGATAAGTACAGCAGAAGACAGAACCAAGTGTAGATGTGCAGTTGAAGCCCTATGTTCCACTAGGAACCCAAGGGAACAATAATAATAATTATTATTATATTCTTGGGTTTCGAGTGGAACATAGGGTTTCAACAACACATCTCCAGTTTCTATTTTCTGCTGTCCTCTTCAGCTGGCTGTGCTCAGGATTGGCCATAATCTCTTATCTTCTCCTGCATGTTAACCTCGCACTGACCGTTCACTCGTCGCTTCCTATTGGGATTGCACTCGAACACTGGCTTGCAATGAGCGTGATGCCATTCAGCGGCCTGTTCAACGTACACATTACTTAATGAATATGTTCAAAAATTTGAAATCAATCAAATCCCCCCTACAAAATAACTCTTAAAAATTGATGTGATACTTGCTATATTGACCGTCAACAGGAGACGAAGTCACCTACAGTTCTAGTAAGAAGTCGTGACCAGTGGGGTCTACCCGGTTGGGAGTGAGGACAAATACTCACCAGCGGCGACACTGGCTGGCACCAGTCGCACTAAAATCATGACTTGGTAAAAGTTGGAATTCATGGGCTGGCCAGTGAGGAGTCAGGTCCCAGTGGCTTGCCTTGTAACCAGAATGATCTGGATTCGAACTCCAATAGGTACGTACTGTCGAATGGTCTCAAACTTGGACGTAACAGCTATCCAGTGGTACTTCGTGATTTTCAATGGTTAGCGCGACTACCAAATGTATTAACGGCCATATCAATTTTTATCATCTTAATAGTCGTATACTCGAAAACTAATCCCTTCCTAGAATTAAATTAATCATTTTCTACTGTCAACTGTTTCCAGTTCAGATCGTAGTATATGATCTGTTTGACGTGAATACTTTTCAACTACTGATATCAATTAATCTGTCTGTTTTCAACATAGAACTTTGCACCGATGTGCAGCACTTCAAGTCACCACACTCAATGTAGCACACAAAGCAAGAGAAGAAATTAGAAGAAATGCATAATAGAGACAGTAGACAGGAATATGAAACAAAAGAAATAGTAATAACGAAGAACAATAGTTTCATTGGAACTAAATAAGTCACAAGGAGTGGATGCATCTGCGCTGTCATTGAGAACAATTTTGAGCCATATCACCGATTGTCTCAAGCCATTGGTTTTTATCGTCCCGAGGACCCCAACCAGGAAGTCTACACCTGCCTATATGGCTGGCTTAAACTAACTGTTGCGGATTTATTTCATTGACTGATGCGGCCATGTCTTGGCTTGACCGCCGCTAGCTCTTTTCCAGTCTGACCTTATGTCAGCTAACATTGCCCATTGTCGAGGAAGGCGATGGCTAGGGATGCATACGAAACACATGTCCTAACCATCTCAGTCGGTGTAGCTTTACAGCCTCGTCTATTGATTTCTTCTCCCACTCACCTAGCAGTCGACCGAATCCTAACCTCAATATTGCTCACCTTATTATACCACTTCACACGGGAGATAGAACACAGACACCCAAGATCAAAGACAGCTAGATAGCCTTTTCATATCTTCCACTGTCAATCGCCAGGTCTCACAGCCATAGAGGAGGGCGGAGCCGACTGCTGACCAGTACACCCGCGCTTTGGTCGATAGGCGGCCGGATATCACGTATACGCCAGAGACGGCGTAAACCGGCATATGCGAAACGAGCCTTCTGTATGCGTTCTGAGATTTCGTCAGCGATCAACCGGTTGGCGTTGACTGGCTGATGCAACTGCGCAAATAAGTGAACCGGTCAATGTGCTCTACCATTTCACTCCCTATTTCTAAGCTAGGAGTCAGTGTAGTCCAGTCCTGTAGCATCATCTTACATTTGACAAGGGAGCGAATCACATGCCAAACATTCGAAGATTGCTGCTCCTCAAGGTGTTCAGAAGACTCTGCATTTTGTCAGCGTCCTCGCCTAGAAGGACTATATCGTCTGCATATTCTAAGTCAACGAGATTATTCTCTGGTAACAAGTCAATCCTTGAGTCTCTGAAGTGAGTTAGGGTTAAGCCACTAGTACAATATCTATGATGAAATTGAATAGAATATATCAATTAATCACTAGTATGTTTGCATAAACCTAATTGTCTTCTCTTTTTTTCGTTGTTGTTGAATGAATATTTCAGTATTATAAAAATGCGACAACAAGAAGAAGAACGTATTCAAAATGAGTTAAAAAATCAACCTGATCCAGATCAACCACCAGGACATCAAAGAATGCCAGAACAGGAACGTTTAGATACATTGGAAATGTTGAAAAAAGGTAATTAATCTCAAATGAAGTCAATTTATATTTGAATATTTTTGTGTTACATGAAAGTCATATACTTATATGGGTGAAGTTAAACAATAGCGTCCCACGGGTGCAAACGCTCCAATGACCTTGAGCGCATGCTAGTCATTGGCTAACGACACCTGCCATTATTCTAGCGCAAATTTCACCCGGAATACGTTTTTAAATACTGTTTGGATAATGGATTGATAGGACATAGTCGCAAATAAAAGTTGTGGTGTTTCAATGAACCTACAACCGTATTCACAAGTTATTGATGGATATGTATTTAGGTAGGCAAGCTTGCATTACTCTCAAGTCTGTGTGAAGATCAACGCTCAGCACTCAGTATGAAAAATAAGATCCGGATTTTTAACTCCAATGTGAAGTCAGTGCTACTCACTATACGGATCAGAGACTTGGCGCCCGCGTCACGAAGGCCACTTCGAACAAACTACAGACCTTCAGCAACAGCTGTCTTCGCTCAATACTACTCAAGATCAGATGGCTGGCCAGAAAAAATCACCAACACAGGGATCTCTGGCAATGAACGAACCAACACAGTGGGAACTAACTGTGCAACAAAACCATCAAGTTACATCACACGTTAGGCTCTTGAATGGAACCCGAATGGGAGTCGGCGAGAAAGCAGACGTGGAGCCAGGTGAAAACGTTGTCAGAGAACCGAAAGCAATGGAGACGTTCGGCTGAAGCCCTATGTTCCTCTAGGAATTAAAAGAAAAAAATGTATTTAGGTGCACACAGTGTAGGAAACGAACGAGTTTTCGTACTGGTAAGTTACATACTCAAGTTTATTGTTTTCTAGGAACTTTCTTTGTCGGATCGAGACTTCCTTTGACGAATATACTGTTTCTATGCCATTGCTGGATATTGAAGTCTCGAGTGAGATCAACAGCCACTCAGATAGAAAGTAGCTTGATATCAACTGTTCAGTGGTTTCAGTATTGCCAAGATTTGGCCTCCTTGAAGTTAAATGATGTTGCACAGGTGTTGAGAGGAGTTGGTGTGATTGTTCACATCGACGAAACAGTGCTCATAACAAAGTAATGTAGTCGTTGTTGCGCTAGAGCTAACAACGTTTGGGTACTGCAGTGCCAACACTATTCTACCTACTATTCAAATGCTGGTTATCCCTGGTACCACTACTATCCACACCGATGAATGGGCGGGATATAACCGTTTATGGGATTTGGGATATATAAATAATTGAGTTAACCATTCAGATGATTTTGTCGGTTCCACAACTGGCACTCATACTAATTCAATAGAGGGCTTCTGAGGTAGATTGAAAAATAGGATAGGAACAATATACGGCTCTCAAAACCAAGTTATTTTTAGTCGCCTCGATGAATATACGCATAGAAATTGGGTCAATTTAAAAACTGACACTCCCACATTATAACTGGATGCGTATTTTAGGCCATATCAGAGAAAAATTCCCTTTTTTAATGTGTTTTCATGCATTTCCTAGTAAATAAAGGTCATTTTTGTGCAAAAATCTCTCATTTTTATGATTGGTTGGTTCAAGGTCACTCGTGCGTTCGCATCCCTTGGGACCCTATTGTTAAACTTCACCCATTATATATATATATATATTTCATTCGTATACTTCTGGTGTACATCAGCTGATATGAAACATGTCAGATATCCAACTATCAGGTGAAGTTATCTAAATATTTATGTACACTTCCCTGATGGCTATTCCACTCTGTTCTCTACAGTCGCCTTCAGATGGCTGCACTATTATTTCACAAGCTTTTATCTCTTCTTCATGTCACCCTTGGACGCCCAACTCATCGTGTTTCCAATTCACATTTCACTTGAAGGCCTTTAGCTTGATGTCACTCAACGTTTGGTGAATAAGTTCCAGGTTGGTTTTGATGCCTGCCAAGGTTGCTTGTTGTTGTTAATCCGCTAAGGCGTGCAGTGCTCAAGTCTTTATCAACCTTATTCAACAGCCGGCTGGCTATATGACAATGCCTGCTGCCACGTGTCAGTCAGGTGATCCACAACGGAAACTTAGCGAAACCTGACTTTTAAGTGAATACAGGAATAAGACAAAACTGGCTGTTCCTCCTCACCAGTGATATTCTTAATTGTAGTGGACAGGATTATGCGTCAGACTGTGCAGAGAGAGTGTGTGTGAAGACAGGAATATGATGGATCGATAGGAAGACTGTTGAAGATCTGGATTTCACATGTGGATGATTTATGTTTAGTGTTACACACACACAAACTCACAGACTTACAGGCAGGCAGCGAAGACAGGGCTAACTCCAGATGAACATAGAGAAGATGGAGATGGAGGTGATGAAGATAACCAGCCAATCCCAAGCAAGAGCAGCCAGCATCAGCACCAATCACCATCAACGGGAGGGACACAGGTTACTTCTTGCATTCACTTACCTAGGCAGCCAGGAAGCTAGCACGGTTTCAACCAGAGGTAGGCAGTCGGACAGCACTGATGAAGATGTCAAAGTCAGTCAGTCAGAATCAAAAAGGCAAGATACGCCTTCATCAATCTGAAACCAGACTGGAAATTTTCTGCTTCACTCACTCAGCCAGCCAGCCAGCATAAACAACAAGATGCCGATTCTATTCAACACAATTGTGATGTCAGTCAGTGAGTTCTTCTATGTGGGAGAGAAACTTGCACTGCGCGTGAGTCAATCAGTCACGAAAAGGATTTCTAACAGGCTAGTGCAGACTTTTATCAATAGCTGGCTTCGCTGGCTCCATACTGAAGATCAAATGGCCAGCAGGCCCGGGAAGAGTTAGCGATAAGAAACTCTGGAGACAAACAAACCAACGAAGAGCCGATTGCTCAACAAGTATGTAGGAGAAGGATATGGATCGAGTATACGCCACTGAGGAGAATGTCGATTTAAACTGCTCTCGGTGCAGACCATTCCTCGAGTGGAACACCAGGAGGAAGGGAGAGATTATGGGCAATCGTAGATCCAACCAGCTGAAGAGGAGAAGGCAGTAGAAAACAGAAGAAAGTGGATATGTGTTGTTGAAGCCGTATGTTCCACTCGGAACCCAAGGTATTAATAATTAGCTTATCTTATACATTTTCTTTTCTCTAACTTTTATTGTTTTCTTGCATACAATAAGTTTCGCCTCTCTCTCTCTCTCCCTCCCCCTTTGTGTACACAGCTCATCAACAATTATTAGAAGAATTTTCTCATCTACCAATACGTATGGATACGTTAAGAATACGTTCTAGGCGAGCAGAGATTGAAACACGTTTAAGTGAATTAGAACAAGCTATTGAAATATTTAATAAACCAAAAGTATTCATTAAACCTGATTAAGAAGAGGGAACAAAAACAACCAGAAAGAAAAATGGAACAATAATCTGAATTATATATTCATCACTTGCCTACTTATAAATACAATGAATGGCTGTATTAAAGAAGGGATACCAGGGAAACCAGAAGGTAACTCGTATATCATCCACCCAGTTAGGTGTGTAAACCACAGTATCATTTCATAAAACGCTAACGTTTGAGTAGATTTTTGTTTGTTTCTTTGTGTGGTGTGTGTGTAAGGCTCCTCGTCATTATCATTTGCCGATACTTCCTTTCGTCTTTGTTCATATTATTTTTAATATACACATAATATGCGTGATACCTCCTTCTCAAATGTCAACATCAAACCAAGTGACCAGCATCTATCTCTCTACTTTTATTCTCCTACCTCTATACAGTATGCCTTTTAAATGTGAAAAAAGCAAACAAACAAACAACAACAGTGTATGTGTGTGTATAGTTTGTAAGTAATTTATGCAGTTTAAAAAACAACAGAATTTCAGTGTTTCAATTCTTCCATTTTATCATAATTTTAAAGGTGTATTACGGGGTTAACCAGCATGTAATATAGAAAGAAAATCAGGGAATATTGTTTTGCAAAGAAGAAAATAAGACGAATATTTTTAAAAATATTTATCAACAAAATAAAAATCTTCGTTTCGTATTTTTTTGTCAAATTTTATTTGATTTCCTAACGAAAGAAAGATGATTGAAGCATTATATTATTTACGTATATGTTTTGTTTAAATTGACCAATTTGTTAATCTCAAGGTCAGGCGGTTGTTTGAAGTTGAGCGTAAATTTTAAATTGGCTATTCTATGAATTCCAGGTGGTGTGTTTTCGCGCATAATGTATCAAACAGCACAATAAATATTCTAGCTGTGTAAAAAATTTTATGTAACATCTTAAAAACAGCTAAACATAACATCTAGTATGATGATAACAGCATTCCTGTAAACTGTAATCGACCGTTTCCATTCTGCCTATTTGGGCGAAGTTAAAGTATCACAGCCAAAGTCAAGGTCTTTCAAAAGTTGACCTTCAAGAAGCGGTCGGATACAGGGAATGCTATGAAATGTCAATCCAAATCGAATCATGCCTGTCTTTTTGGGCTTGGAAAGGGTAGATACAGTATTCTACTTATTTACTAGGTGCTTTTCCTGCAAATCTATACTGTTAGGTAGGGTTATGGCGTTTACGAATAAGGTTAAGGTTAGGTTTAAATTTAGGGTTACAGTTAGAGTTAGGAGTAAATTGGGGAATAGTGTCAGAAATACCAACGGATCTCAAAGTACCATGACCTACAGTCATCTGAATGAGTGGATATATCGCGCATGGTACGATTTCTCAATAAATCATCTGGGTTTAGTGACTGGGAGACATTGTTACAACACATAAGCTACAAATATACCGTGTATTATCATGTTTGCAGCATTTTGATTGCATTTTTTAACGATTATGCGACTTTCTTGTATCTGAATTCTGATTGGTTGTTCAAGGTCACTGTGGTTTTGACCATGATAGTTTAACTTTGCTCCTATTCGAGTATATTGAGACAAAAGTGCGCTAATTTTGTTTTGCAATAATCTATACCCTCGCTCGACAGGCGTAGATTTCCAAGGTTATATGAATTATGTAATAAAAAGACAAGTCTGCGATAACTATTCGTTTCGTAATTTCCTTTCAAATTTGTACAGTTGCACAGATAATGTTCAGAAAGAAGCAGTTGTTAGTCTTTCCTTGCAATGGTAACTGAATGTCTTTATTCTCTACTCTGATTATGTAATCCTTGTCTTTAACCTCACCCCTTTTTTATAATCTGTAATATTGCTTGTCTCTTGTTTCTATGACGTGATTTGAACTCAGTACATCGTTACCAAATTTATTAGTTACTCATCATCTTACTCATCTCTCGTCTTTATTACGTAACTCCTTTACCATTGTATGCATTCATTTATTTTGTTTAAACTTGAACTGCCTGTGTAAAAACTATATAAGCACAATTTTCTGAACACTTTTCATTAATTGTAGAACTTTCTGTCAACTGACAACATGTAAAAATTGCAAGTATGTAAAAAAACTTTTCTGTACGTAAACCTCACAATTTATTTAGGCTGTAAGCAGCTGATGAGAAGCCGATGAAATAACTGATGGTACCATATTATTCTGCACAAACCACTGTTGTTCTTGCTTTATTTAAACGTTCTAAAAGTTTAGTTAATAATACTGTGGTGAGAGATGGCTGTAAGCCAAAATTGTAAACGACAATTTATGTCAGTGTTACATCCCGAATCCGGGTCATGAGAAAAAAACACAGTAACAAAGCTTAATCATGAGAACGTCACCAACCAATCACAGCACACTTAACGTGTGCAAATAGGATTCAAAGATATATGGCTTAACTTTCTGAGAAACGGTCACAAGCAGTGCAGAAAAACTTTCAGCAGGAAAACAACCAATCAGAAGACGCTGCTTCTCCACTGACATAAAAATCTATAAATATCTCTTGATTTTCTGAATAAACGATCCGTTGCCTGGCCCTTGTCTTCTGTCGTTACAATATGAATTTGTAATAAAACATATGAAATGACATAGCAAGGGAAATAATGGCAGAATTATGAAACTTAGCCAAGTAATTTTACATGATCCAATATCTTTCAGGAATGATTGTCATTAAAAACTGTCAGCTCATGGAAACAGGTATATTGTCCATAAGATTAAAACATTAAGAATATGTATAAAGTATATTTTGAAGTTAGGAGTTTGTTGAACACAGCTGTAAAGGCTGTTAATAAGATAAAACCAAAAGTTGGTAAAAACCAGTGGATTTCTACTGACTCAATCGAACCGATTAACGCAAGAAGACTGATTCCAGCGAGCTCAGAATATGATTAGGAGCGAAAGCTGCTCAAACGTTAACTAACAAGAAGTTTTCGCAACGACCGTGAACAGTGGTGGGTGACAAAAGCGAAAGAGATGGAAAAGGCATCAGTGATACGTAACACCAGACAATTATTTAGACTTATCAGGGAAACAGGTGGCAAAAGGTAAATGATAAGTGAAACAATCTCTGCGAAAAATGGCGCCGTAATTAGCTCTCAGGATAGACGACTAGAATGTTGGAAAGAACACTTTGAGGAGCAGTTTAATTGACCTACAGCCACTCTCAACTTACCGAACGTCCAACACCTTCCTGAATGGGATATAGACACAAGTCCTCCGTCCCTAACTGAGGTTACTAAAGCTGTCACTAGTCTGAAACGAGGTGAAGCAGCAGGACCTGATGGAATGACGTCAGAGGTTTTTGTGGAAGGCGGAGACAATTTACTGTCTGGTTTAACTAAGTTATTAGGTAGCGTCTGGAAATGAGAAGAAGTCCCGTCAGGTTGGTGTTAGTCATTGATTATCCCGATATACAAGAAGGGAGACAAGTCTTCCTGTGATAATCACAGGGGATTGGAATGACCAATATGGTACCTAAAGTTCTAGGCTAAATAATCATGCATAAATTAAGTAATGTTCGGGAGAAACAAAAACGAGAAAACCAGGCAGGATTTAAACCGAGAAGAGGGTGTGTTGACCATATCTTCTCCCGCTAACAGATTCATGAACATAGACATATTTACAGCTGTTCAACAATTGCCACATTTTTTGACCTGAAAGCGGCATTCGATTACATCGGCCGAGAGGTACTTTGACAATGCTTGGCTTTGAAGGGAGTGCCAAGAAAGTACATCGCACCAATCAAGGCACTCTACTTGAACTCATGTGGACAGCCAGGTGAGAGTCTACGGAGAGTTATCATCTGAAGTGGTGACAACCAGTGGCATCCGTCAGGAAGGGATGTCCACTGTCACCATTTCTGTTTAATTTCATCATAGATGTATGTGCTAACGGAGTTGACCCTAATTGACTTGTTACCACCAGGCAATACTAGTCTCGTTGACTTTGAATATACGAATGATATAGTCATATCTCGTAGATGAATACGCTGACAAAATAGAGCAGTCTTCTGAACACTTTTAGCAGTGTGCAATTGTCGAGTGTTTGTCATGCCATTCACTCCCATCAAATGTAAGATAATGCTGCGGGACTAGACTGGACTACACTGACTCAATCTTAGGTTAAAGATAGGCATGAGTGAATTGGTGGAGCGTGTTGACTAATTCATTTATTTGGGGAGTGCCATCAGCCAGTGTCAACGAGGTGATCACTGACGAAATCTCATCAAGGATACAGAAGGCCGGTTTGGCATTCACCTGCCAATTTACGCCATCTCTGACTTAGTAGGCGTGATATCCGAATGTCGACTAAAGGAAGTGTATACTGCTCAGCAGTCCGCTCTGTCCTCCTTTGTGGCTGTGAGATATGGCCATTGAAAGTAGAAGACATGAAAAGCCTGGCTAGTTGTCTTTGATCATAGGTGTCTACGTTCTATCTTCCGTGTTAGGTGTTGGCATAATAGGGTGAGGAACATTGAGGTTAGGCATCGTGTGCTAGGTAAGTGGGAGGGAAAATCAATCGACGAGGCTGTAAAGTTACATTGACTGAGATGGTTAGGACATGTGTTGCGCATGCCTAGGCTAGCGTAGTCATTGATCACCTTCCTCGACAACGGGCAATGTTAGCTGACTAAGAATGGATCAAGCTGGAGAAAGAGCTAGTGGTGGTTAAATGAAAACATGGCTTCACAGATCAATTCAGTCAATCCACAACAGTTAGTTTAAGCCACGTATGGAGGCGTAGACATCCTGACTGGCAGGTTGAGGTCCTCGGAATGGTAAGAACCAATAGTGGTGGCTGGAGACAAATGGTGATGTGACTGAAAATCGTCATTCTGGATGGCTGGCGCAAATGCATTAACTCTTTTTGATTTATAGTATCCGATAAAATCCTATTACTCTTCCATATTATTATTATTTTTCCCTCACTCACACTTCTGTTTATTAGCTCTCTCTCTTTTGAACTTGCCTTTACACTCTTTTCTTGTTTTGTGTGCTGCATGGAGGGAGTGTGGGAAATCGAACTGCTGCACATTTGTGCAAACTTTTATGTTGAAAGCAGTCATTTAGAAGTTTGAAAGAGAAGACTGAGAGGAAGGAACGGATGACATACATAACTACTTAATACAATTTAAAAACCGCTGTTGTATAGACAGTTCATGGCTCTCCTTATGTATGACAAAAGTTTTCTTTGTGGGTAGAGGATGTAGCCAGAAATCCTTAGAAAGACATGGCCTTATCTTTTAGTATCACTTTGAAAGATTTCTATCCTGATGCAAAATGATGTGTAGGAACAAGATGATGAAGAATTAAACTTCTGGTTAGTCTAATTTTTCCTTTTTGACAACCATATTGGGGAGGTGTTCTTGTATATGCCTAGATGGTAACCTACTGGTATGTTACAAAATTTGAGATTTCAGTAATTTACAACTGTTGCCAACCAATACTTGGTTGAAGAAATAAAGAAAAACTGCCTTGTTTCACCTCTTCCATGTGTATTTACCATCAGTTTAATCACTCCTGCAGAGCTAGTGACATTGGGGTTATAATCAGGTAAGTTCACCATCGAATTTCTGAATACCTCCCATCTTGACTTGGCAAAGGTCTAAGTAAGGCTATACACATCTCAATTCTAGTTCATTTCACCGGTATTGGACATCAAGTTGACACTAGCAAAGCTTTTAAAGCTATTTATCAATCCTATTTCACCTAACCTCTCGCCTTATGGTCTACGAGTACGACTTTTACACACAGAAAAGGCAATCGGAATTCATCTGAACAAGCCAAATCTGTGTGTCAGCTCAAAATAAACATGTACAGACACTTTCTTTGCTATGCATGACCAACCAACAATTTCCCCTCCCCTTGTAACTACCTTTTGACTATGTTATTTCTACAATTCTAGCTGATTCTATTAACTCGTTTGTGTTTTACGTAATTCTTCTGAGTCATCCTGTGCGTCGGTGGCACAGTGGTTAGGACTCTCGCCGACCATGCACATGGTCCGAGGTTCGAGCCCATGCCGGCGCACACCCGATATCTATGGTCGGCCTGCAAAATTTGGGCTATCAATATCCATGCTGAAAATGCCATACCTGTACTGAAAACACGGTGTGGCATCAAGCTGTAACCAAAATAAATAAAATAAAAATATTCTTCTTAGTCATCATTATTCTACAGATTTCTTCATTACGTAATAACTTGTTGCAAAAAGCAAAGAATCAACTAATCTTGAATTCCGTAATTAATTAATTTTCACCCCTCCTCCCTTCAAAACTTAGATATCTTGTTACTAACATCTATTAGTTAATTGATGTTTTGATGACTTTTAACCTCTTAACCTGTTAATTTTACCCTCCATCTAGGTTTTCCTAAAACTGATTAAGTTAAATAACCACTTGACTGGTAAAAAGTTTTGATGTAAAACACGATATGTATTAGTGTAGAGCCAACCGATGATGAAGGATAAATTAAAAAAGGAGTGCATATTTCTTCGCCCAATTTGTTGGTTTTTCTAAAATTTGAGATAGTAGGAGTATCACCAAGACGATCTCGAATGATTATGTCATATATTACCCTCAAGATCTGAAACTACACAACTTATTCTCTCCTATGAACCACTAGTTTATTACCCGAGGTATTTGAATAATGATAAGTAAATGTCATGAATCTGAGAGTTACTTCTCTTACTGACAGATCTCTCAACAGGTACATAGTATTGTAACGACAGAAGACAGGGGCCAGGCAACAGAACGCTTAATGAGGAATAATGAAGATACTTATTTATTTTTATGTATATTATTGCTGGTTATTATTAGCAGAGAAACAGCATCTTCTGATTGGTTGTTTTCTTGCTCAAGGTTGCAATTTCTTTGAAAGTCAGACTGTATACCCGCCCACGCAAGGTCTGCTGTGATTGGTTGTCGCAATAGTCTTTGTTCTTGCTTTTTTCTCATGACCCAGATTTGAGACGTAAACATTGACCGAAGCTGTGGGAATTAATTCGACAGAACAATCCTAGTATCTTTGCATACAACAAAAGAAGTTTGTTCTACCTTTGTCTCTCCCTTAGCTTAGGTAAATTCTGATTTAAAGGAACTTTCCACCCATTCTTATTTCCCGTTTCCTTCGTACTTTTATGGTATTTATTTAAACTCTGATTATCTGTCCACTTTTAAGATTTGACCTATTTTATTTATTGAACTGCCTAAATATACACATATTACTGCCTTCGTTATTCTTTTTATCTCCATCTGCATAAACCTTATTGTCACTACTTTTTGTTATCATTATAATCATCGTTATTACTGACGTTCAAAACATTTACCACATTATTACTATTATTTGATCCACAAACTCACCGTCATTGGTTAAATTTTTCTGGTATATATAAATCTATATAAATCAGAGTAAAGCCTGAAGTAGGTCTTCTGATAAAGAGTCCCAAATTAGGACGAAACAGCTGACTGTTTAATACTCCCAGCTGGTTTTCCAATGGTTCTCTAACTGATATCACCTCATGATGGAATACCTCAACCAACCGAACAAAATCCCTACAAAACCAATACGTGAAAATTGATCTGATGCTCACTAGCGACTAGCCCTATTCAGGTAAGTAGTTACCTGAGTAGGTTCTAGTGGGAAGCCGTGACCAGTAGAGTACAGCAGGTTGAAGGTGAGGCAGTAACTCATCGAGGAAGACATTGCGAAGCGGTTGCGCTATGTCAAGAATTGGCAGAAGTTGTAATTCATGCACTGACTGGCCATTGGATTGGCGAGTCCCAGTGGCTTAATGGTCTACGAGCCAGCTCGCCTTGTAGCCAGAACGTCCTGCGTTCGAACCCTGGCAGTGGGTTGGGAGCGTGTTTCTGAAGAGTCGCAAGCTAGTCTGACGAAACAACTGGTTGTCCAGTACTTCCAGCTGGTTTTCCAATGGTTCTCTAACTGATGTGAGCTCATTATAAAATTTTCCAACCAATCAAACAAAATCCCTACAAATCCAATACTTGATAATTTTTTTTACATATGTCTACTTCTCACTTGACGCCCAATTATTTAGGAAATATTTGGTCAAATCATAGGAAAGAATGAATTTAATTGATGCAACTTTCTGGCTTTAAGGCTATCCTATCACATTATAATCAATATTCTGCTTCAGCCCGATGGTTCACATTTGTTCAAACCAGTATTTGGCGCGTTTTCAATGATTTTAATATTGGGTCAAAAAAGGAGGTATACAACACAGATACACAGGATGATTTTTCTTCAGTTTGAATATATACGCTTTTCCTGATAAGTGACTAAAATTCGGCTCTTTCTACTTATTGATTTTTAGTCTGTTTCTAATTGAGTTTGCGGGTGATTGATTGTCACTTTTATTCCTGCCTTGCTAAGAATTCTGTGTAAGGTTTGCGAGGTTCCCTTCTTGTATGGAATTAATACTGATGATTGTTGGTGTTGTCTTGCGCATGTCGTTATTAATATTATTATTGTTATCACTATCACTGCTATCATTATTTATTTTATTTTTACGTTTTCTTAGATACTTTCTGACTAATTTATCAGGGTAATTATTAAGTTTCAAGGTTTCTTTTATGTGTATCACTTCCTGTCTTAGATTTTCCTTGGAACTACTTAAATTTTGTGCTCTGTCACTTAAACATTTCACCAATCCTATTTTTACTGACATGGGATGAGATGATCGGAAATCCAAATATCTGTTTCAATGTGTGGGTTTCCTGTAAACACAAGTGTGATAACGGAAGCTTTGTTTATCGAATCAATCGCAAATAGGTGTAACAGGAATGATTCAACACCTGTCCACCCAGACATCCGGAGAATTCCACTACCCCTATGATGACAAATAGGGGAAAGAATAAAGAAAACTATAAAACTCAAGTTTCGAAGTTGTGTGATTATAATTGATGAAATGATTATGAACAATAAATTTTGTTCGGAACCTTGTCATCCAGTAAATAATAATACTGTTTCTTCACTGTGTGATATATCTAATAAACAAATTAATATGGAATTACTTACCACCACAGTGCCCAAGTTTTACACATATATTAACTTTTCGTCTTGTAGATGACTTTAGATGATGAGGCTGTAGAGATAGGGTGATCATTATCAACGAGATGTTCAATGATCACACTTCTTATTGCTCCACTTCCACCTCTTCGTAACCACCATGCAGGATAGTGTTCTTGCACTCTCCTATAATTTCGCACCCCCTTCCAAGTTCTATACATCCCATGAATTATTCTATATATATGACATTAATTGTTTTGCCACTTCACAACTATGAATATAATCCCAAACATTTTTATTTTAATTGCATTTCATACTACTATCATTATTAGTTTATGTATTCATAGCTATGCTTCAATTCCCTCGCTGGATCTTTATATATATGTGAGTCGGCGGCACAGCGGTGGAATGCTCGCCGACCACGCCTCATGTGGTCCGGGGTTCAATCCCCGACCACTGGACGCACTCCTTTACCTCGCTAAGTCAGGAATTAATAAGACTGGTAAAAAGGGAATTTTGGGCATGAGGCTGGCTTGCAAACCCATCCCGTAAAAATAAACACCACTGCTACCAAAACTTCAAGCATCTAGCTTGAAGGCGCCCTATGTTTCACTGGGAACATAAAGAAATAAAAAATAAAATAAATTAAAATATACATATATATACAGCTAGATAATATATTTTTTGAAAAGTGTCTCTTTGCGCTGAATCCCGCCTGTAATTGATTTTCACAACAATGAAAAATTTTAACATTAAATCTACTGCATCTAATAAAGAAGACGAAGGAAGACAGCAAATCAAAAGGCAAGTGACAACACAGATAAGAAAGAGTAAAAATATTAAACTATTATTATTTGTTCATTTCAATGACAAGTTTCCCGCGTACACCTTTTGCATACAATCGATTGAAGGCTTTTGGTACATCAGTAAAGCTATACACTGTATCTATTGGGATAATTAGCTGTCCATTCGATAGCAGAGTTAACATAACTTGTAAAGCATTACGATTTGGTTTAAAAAATGCCCAACGTATTAGATTACAATTATTCAATGCGGTAATATTACTGCTATTATCGACTTTGACAGAGAATGTCGCCGCCAGCTTTGTACTTATCAACTGGGTAAACGCCAACCCCGTGCCAAGAAATGGTCCCCAATAATCAGTTAAGTGTAATAAGGCTGGATTAAGCATTATATAACGTGATTGATTTGAAGAGGTATTCAAATAGGCTAGAGTAGGTGGGATATACGGGAGAATATTATTGAGTAGAGTATTGGAGGATTGTTTATTGGCTGTTGATGAAGATGAGGTCGAGGAGGCGGAAGAAGGCGACGAGGGGGAGAATGGTGTCGCCGTATTGATGTACTCCGGTCGAATACAATCAAGAATCAAATCATATTTTAATGTGTTAGGAATTTCTGTTGGATAAGGAAATATCTAAAATGTGAAAGGAGGAGAGAAAGAAAGAAAGGTGTGTAGAGACACACATCAGGAGGAATAATAAATCAGAGTGACATAAAATCTTATTGATCAGTTTAAACACGTACACACCATAAGGAAAAACACACCGGTTTTGTTCAACGAGGAAGTGTATTTTCTTTTTCGACGACTTAATTTTCAGGATTTCATCATGAGCTGACATTAGTTAGAGAACCATTGGAAAACCAACTAGGAGTACTGGACCGCCAGCTGTTTCGTCCTAGTTTGGGACTCTTCATCAGTACGCACCCACCGGGCTTCAAACCCAGGACCTTCTGGTTACAAGGCAAGCTAGCTCGTATACCATTAAGCCACTGAGACCCGATCCAATGGCCCATGAAATCTAACTTCTGCCAATTCATTCATGAAAAATTCCCATTCGAACATTAATCGACAGAAGACCAGGAGTTCAGTGAAGAGTCTCTTTTTTCAGGGGCGAATTCCTTTTCATAGCTGTACAATCGCAAATATTGTATATGGTTGTTTTGTATGTGTTTGTGTGTACATTAAATTTATCAAACGAAAATACAGCTAGTAAGTTCAGATGAATTGGATGTTGATATTAGAGGGTAGAAACAAAAGTGATGAGTTGTCACAAACGATTGTTAAAGAAGAGTTACGTAATATCACGAGTAGTTGGATGAAGGAGTTGTGCTCAGGGTGTACGTGGAAACAAAATAACCCACGGAATTACACAAGAGTTTTAAGTAGTTAGAATAAACAAGCAAAAGTTAAGTCAAATCAACAGAGTTGTTACCATGATAGTAGAAGTGGTTGAATTATTTTCTTTTTTATGAATAGTTCTGGTTCTTCCAACTAAATGGCTAGGGCTACTGCAATGCAAAGAAGACGGAAACGTATTGTCTTTGGTAAGTTGTTCTTCACTTTGTAGATTAACCTGAGGCAGGAGTTGAGATGGAATGACCAGTGTTGACGAGATGTTCGATTATTGCACTCCTTATATACGGGCACTACTTCCTTTCTGCAGCCATGCTGAAAAGTGTTCTTTGACCCTTTTTGATAAGATGCGCGTTGAACAACCGATGTACCTGGCTCCACAGCAACAGGTGAACTTATATATACACATAGAAGTGGTCAGGTGCGGGATCTTATCCTTTGGGCTTCTGTAGATCAGCGGGCGACTGGAGAACACTACTTTAAATGTTGCCGCAAAGAAAGTTTTTTCTTAAAGAATTGGATATTCTCCTGCTAAAGACATCAAGGATGGTGTCTCTTGCTTTTGGATTTTCTGTTTAATGTTTTTGTCTACGAATCTTGATGGATAATCGTTTTGTAGGACGGTTTCTTTCAGTAAGTGTAGTTCTTCTTCCAGTGTATCAGAGCTGCAGATGCGCCGGACGCGAGTGGCAAGAGATGTAATAAGGTTTCTTTTTCAACTGATTGGTACCCAGCTGTAGAAATTTTCAAGCTGTATGCAGTTGTTATTAGATGATTGGAGGCAATCTGCCACAGGAAACCTTGGATACAACCTGTGTTTCGTGCTAGTTGGCATTCACCAGTCAGCAAGGCGGACGTATCTGCAACCGCATTGAAGGAACTCATTTCCCTTCTGAGGTTCGAAACCCGTCACCTAGTGCCGCCGGCAGTCAGTCAGAGACGTTACCACTGAGCTGTTCGGGCCCGCGATTGACCTCCTCTGTAGGACTGTAGTGGATACTTTGATCGGACACTAGTCACTAACTAGTGTGATGTGTCTAATCCTTTCTTTGGTGCAGACTGAATTCTGTCGGTCAGGTTTGCAATGTGGCCACCATGTGGCTCGCCATCACACTGCACATGGTAACATCTCTGACAAACAGCAGGCGGCACTGGGTGACACGGGTTCGAATATCAGAAGGGACATAAGTTCCTCCTAGGCGGTTGCAGATACGCCTGCCTTGCTGACTGGTGAATGCCAGCCAACTAGCACGAAACCTAGCTGGTCCAAGGCTTCCTGTGGCCAACTGCCTCCAATTATCTAATATCATCAAATCAATGTGAACAGTAATGGTGGGCTACCTAGCAGCATGGTGGCCACATTTCAAACCTGACTGACAGAATTCAGTCTGCAACAAAGACAGGGGGACTGGTAGATTAATGCCAGTTTTTGATTTGATTGCTTCAAACTTTTCGAAAGCAGTCGTCCTATGTCGGCTTACCAATATGACGTAGCCATCTTATTGGAGATGAAGCTTCACAACAATACGAATCTTGAAAACATTTATTTCCCGATACGAATTTAAAACAAGCAACAAGAAAAGGTGTGTTAATAAAGCAGGATTTAATGATGGATTCATCAAATTTCGGTAGAACACTCTTCCTCACCTGAATACTCTACATACGGGGGGGATATATATACTATTCGAAATTGCATTGGGAGATAGAAGACTGATAAGCAAGTCGAGTCATTCACTGTTGTCAGCGAGCAGACAAATAAACAGGAAGATGCTTGCCATTGCCAAGGCGACTTGTACAATTCGAGTTTATAAACCAGGTCTCTGTGTACACAAGGAACCAGTCATCACTCTGAATCTACCATGTTAATACGTTTTACTTATTATTTTACCTCTTATTATTATTATTCTTGAATTATTTAAAACTATCTTTTATCAGTAGGATTATCTTAACTCACTTCAGCATTATCATTATTATTGTTATTATCATAACTATTACTATTGATATTGCTCTGTTTGCGATTCTTGTTGTATTCTCTAATGCATGGAGGATTTCATCATGAGCTGACATCAGTTAGAGAACCACTGGAAAACCTGGGAGTACTGGACCGCCAGCTGTTTCGTCCTAATTTGGGACTCTTCATCAGTACGCACCCACCGGGGTTCGAACTCAGGACCTTCTGGTTACAAGGCGAGCTAGCTCGTAGACCATTGAGCCACTGGGACCCGATCCAATGGTCCTTGAATTCTAACTTCTGCCAATTCACAACATAGCGCGACCATTTCGCAATGTCTTTTTCGATGAGTTGCTGCCTCATCTTCAACCTACTGTACCCTACTGGTCACGGTTTCCCACTAGAACCCCAGGTTAACTGCCTGAATAGGGCCAGTCGCTAGTGAGCATCAATACTTGAATATTCTCTAATGACTAATTGTTTATCCAAGTGACGTAATTGAAGTGTAATGCATTTTATCTTAATTTTGATCTCTCATACTTCCTCTCCCCTCATTTATTTGAACATGACCTGATCTGAACATTCGCACCTGTCTTTCTGCCCGACTAATTCAATGTAGTTTATTTGCTCACTTATCAGTTTTATATGTCCCAATGTATTTCGAATAGTATATATATCCCCCTATATGTAGAATATTCAGCTGAGGAAGAGTTCTGCCGAAATTTGATGAATCCATCATTAAATCCCGCTTCATTAACACCTTTTGCTGTTGCTTGTTTTAAATACGAATTTTGTTGTATGTGTGTTGAGTGCAACAGATTTACAAACTGATTTCCGATTGAAGATATTCTGTGTAGCCTTTCCAATCCTGGATGACTTTGACATCTTCACCAATTCTGAATTCCTGTGGTTGAAACTGTGTTGGCTTCTTGGGCAGATAGGTAAAGAGGTGTTATGATTTACAACAAATATAGAAATCTATAAAACACAAAATAATTGAGCACAAAGAATATCCTTTTCAATAAATTCCTCTTCTGGCTCTACAATCACATATATACATGTTTATATACATAGAATATTCTAGAATAGTAGTCAATAACAATATTGGTGTGCTTTTTAAATAATATCGATTTGTAAAGTATGACGTTAAACATGCTTTCAGGGTCATTTACCGCATACCTACGAATCTAAATTTTGCCTTAATAGTTCGACTACTAAATATTGATGAGGCTGTGGGGATCCATATTAATAAGCCTAATTTATGCAACAAGAAGAAGTTAGTTCAGACATTATCATTAACACTCTGGCCATCGAGGTTTGAATGATCATGAATTTTTTTGGAATTTTCCTAATTTTAGTTGATATTCTGTTCGCAACTATGTCTTTGTTATTATTATAATTTAAGCATCTTTAATGAACTGTAATTCCATTGTGATCTTACTTAACAAATCGATATTATTTAAAAAGCACACTAATATTGTTATTGACTACTAATCTAGAATATTCTATGTATGTAAACATGCATACATAATTGTCGAGCCAGAAGAGGAATTTATCGAAAACAATATTCTTTGCTTGATTATTTTGTGTTTTATAGATGTCTGAATGAATATTTTTGCTATATTGAAATATAGAGATATTTAATTGAATTTTAGATTTTCCCGTGTATTGATTGATTGGACCGAAGTGCTCGGTCTCAGGTTGACATGTCGAAGCATCTGCACAAGAAGCCAACAGACATGTCAATCTGAGTAGACCGAGCACTTCGGTCCAATCAATCAATCGACGGGAAAATCTAAAATTCAATTAAATAATTAATATGACCCGTTGCATAAGAGGTGGCCGGCTCTCGTGGCCCAAGTGGTCTAGTGGATAACGCTTTGGCATTGGAAACTACAGGCACTGGGTTCGAGCCTCGTTGAAGGGAACATCATCACTCACTGAGGAATGTAGGTACATCCAACTGACGAGTCCCAAATAGGACGAAATGCGCTTTACCCTGGATTCCACTGCTAATCATCATCCACCAATTAAATATAGAGATAATTTGCTTGACAGCATTGAACAAACAAGCCGGAAAAAAGTACTTACTTCTTCAACTTGCAAAGACTTCATCAAGGCCAAGGCTTTATCATCACCTGGACAAGTCACATGTACTCGCCAACCCCATAATTTAGCTAACTGAGCTGCAATAAATCCAACCCCACCGGTTGCACCAGTTATTAGAATTAAATTATTTGATAATGATGTTGATACTGGTGTTGGTGTTGTCTGAGACATTCTACGAATAACAGGTCGTATTCCACCAGTATCGACTAAAGCTGACCATGCAGTCAGACCGGCATAGCCTAATGCAGCTGCTTGCACATAAGATACATTACGAGGTAGAGGAGCAACATAATCGGCCGGACAGGTAATATATTCAGCTAAAGCACCAGATCCTGTAGAACTTAAAAAAGGCCATGTAGCACCGGCTACATTTGTACCAATGGTAAGGTTGGATGAATTGACATCTGGACCTATATCGACTATTTCACCGGCGAAATCACGACCAGGTGTAAAAGGGAAGCCGGAGTTTTCAGATGTCATGGTATTTTCGATATTTGGTACACCAAGGCATCCACAAGTTGATGTGAAACGTCTTAGGAGATTGAAACTTGATGAACCATAACCATAGATGAGTAGTGAGTCGACAGGATTTAATGATGCTGCTTTCACTTTAATAAGAATTTGATCTGGACGTACTATACTCGGCATTCGTCTAGTCTTGGTTAAGTGTAACTCTGACGTGATGTCTGCTGTTGTTGATGATGGCGATGAACCAGGTCGAAGAAAATTCATTAACTGCCATGCTGAAATTGTTCTTGGTAACTGTTTTGACATTATTTATTATTATTAATATTGTACGTTAGTTGTATTTCGAAATATGGTCTGAAATGAGACAAAAAAGTAATAGAATATTAATAGCAAATGGACAGGACAATACACACACACACACACAATTTCATGGCTTCGTTCCTCTCCAGTACTAAAGTAATTTAGTAAGGACCCTCAGCCACAGGGTTACAGCTATATGCTCAGAAGAGGTAATGGAAGATGAACTTACGGTTGAGTGTATATGATACCTTGATTAATTGAAAACAGTTATCGAGACAAATTCATCAGGAAACATATGACCAAGAAACTTGAAAAGGACAATTCACTACCCGTAAAAAAGAAGCCATTATACATACGAATGCAATTCAAGGGTGATGTACCAAGTGAAATAGTTACTAACAAGTTAAGAAAATCAATTCGAACAGTTTTTAATACTGGCAAAACACACGTCATATTTTCCACAAGACCGACGGTGATTCCTCAATTGAAAGATGAAGTACCTAGACTGGACTAGCCACTTCTAATTGTATCCACCAATTCAACTGGGCTGATGGTGGAGCGAGTTATATTGGCCGTTGCTCTAGGAACCCGATTTTTCGTACTTTCTCGGGAACATCTACCAGTGTGGCTACATAAAGGTGTAATAAAAAAACATCAAGAGTGGATGTTTCACAACCATCAGTGAAGCTGTAGCGAACTGTTGTACAGTAGACTGCCTTTTCTTTCCAGATAGTTAAACATACTCTCAGTACCGAACATGCTAAAATTCTAATACTCTAGGAATATGCCATCTCACTAGCAAGGTATTACAGATGATGTGCATATGAAATGTACGAAAACATTTATTGTTATTATTAGCTAGAAAAGAATGAGGAAGAAAAAGAGTCTTTCTGTGTGAATACAGTCCAATAAAACAATTATACGCCTTCATCTTCAAAAAAAACACAACTGGAAACGTCATCCGAACAAAGCAAGTCTGTCAAACGATAGTAGTTATTAGAAAACAGGATTAGACATGACAACTGGTTGTCAAACAATATTCACCACCTGCCTTAGTCGAATACAAAATGAGGCGGCATACCAAATATTTGACTGACTGCAAAGATGTGTAGCAGTTCCAATCGCCACACACCCTCCTTGTAGTACACAAGAGAGTAAACCGAGATTCAAAAGAGGTAGACAAAGATAATACACAGAAGTATGAGGGAAGAAGGATGATAACAGGGAAGAAAAATAGAATTTTTTGGATATGACTGACAAATCACAAAGAGTGAATGCATCTGCGCATTTGAGAATGACTTTCAGCCATATGACCAATTGTCTCCAGCCAACACCATTGCTTCTACCATACTGAGGACACCAACCAGTCAGTCAGAAAGACCACACACCCGACGTGGCTGGCTGACTGGTCAACTGGCTTAAGCTAACTCATATGAATTTATTTCATTCACTGATTGACTGATGAAGTCTTGTTTTGGTCTGACCACCACTAGCCAACTGTTTCCCGACCTCACCCATCCTATGCTAGTCAGTCAGCTAACATTGCCTGTTGTCGAGGAAGGCGGTCGATCGATGGCTAGCCTACGTCAGACTAGTCTCTCTCAATCGACGCAGTCAGCTTCACTACCTCCTCGATTGATTTCTACTCCCACTTAACTAGCAGTCGACCGATGCTTCACCTTAATACTTCTCACCCTATTATACCACCATCGAACACGGGAGATAGAATGTAGGTAAATTTATTTACTCTCCTCGGATTTTCGTGGAATTCATAAACGATTGTGTACCAACCGAAAATTCAGTGGTCCTTTAAAGAAATGCATAAATACTGCTGATTGAATAACAAGGGATTACAGTGGTCACAGTCAAACGGCTTTCTGATACCACAATGAGATCAAAAGTAGATAGTATTATAATTATTATAATAATTCAAGGCCGATATGCCTAGAGAAATAATTACGAAGAAGTTAAGAAAATCAGTTCAAAGAACCTTTATTGCTGGTGAACTACAAGTCTTATATTCTGTCCAACCGATTATAATTCCTTAAATGAAAGACGAAGTACCTAGACTGGACTAGCCACTTCTAATTGTAACTACCAATTCAATTGAGCTTGTGGTGGAGCAAGTTATATTGGCCGATGCTCTAGGAACTTGATATTTCGTCATTGCTCGGGAGCATCTACCAGTGCAGTGTGGCGAAATAAAGGTGTAGTGAGAAGCATCAACAGTTCGATATCAGACCACCGGCTGGCCACAAAGCTGATATTGAAGAATCCTTCTCCATCATCTATCGGGTACCAAATAAATTGCCAAAAACATCCAGGTACGGCATACTCAAAACAGCAGAGGCTATCGTGATTCGCCTTAAACAACCGATGCTCTGTGTGTGTGCAGGAGAAAGTTCCAGCTAGTCACTACTACTGCCCTGGCCGACCTTCAGTGGTGACTATCGATTCATGAATTTGTAATATTATTACTTTTCCTAATTTCTCTGATATTCAGTGTAGTGCAGTGTTATGTTGGTGCTATCGAACTGTAATCCATTCATATTATTATTATTATTATTGATTCGATCTTATTCGAAAACCACATTAATGTTGTTGTTAATAACACTAATTCATTCATTCACTATTATGGATGGATATATAGCTGTAGAACCTGCTGATGACGAAGAGCAGGTTATCGAACAGAAGATTATTCTTTGTTCAGTAACCATTCTTTTGGAAAAACATTTTAATGGGAATTTTTTTAATCAGTTAGAATAAAACAGATAATTGGACTAGGGAAAGTAGATGAAAGTGTGTGGTTGCATTGTAACAGCAGAAGGCAAGACATGGAAGCAAAATGTATATTTTCAGTTGATCAAACAACGGTTTATATATGCAAATAGTTTGTATTCTTTAACCAATCACTGAGCATGTGAATTTGTTTTACATTAAAACGGCATGAAATAGAATGTTCAAATAGATATATCGTAGTATTCTGTTGCTAATGCAGTATTGAACTGTGGGAATATGTGAGAGCAATATTCCGTCGGAACACATTGTCTGTATCATATCACCACACAATGAGCAGTTACAGGATTTCTGTGGTGAGTCTGCCTTATATCAACATAAAATTTGATCATGACTAAAGGTGGAGAATTGTTCCCTTAAGCTAACCATCTGTTATAGTTTAGGCTTCAAAGGTAAAATAATTAAATTAATTATTAAGTAAATAAATAAATCCTAGGCGAAAACGCTGACAAAATAAGGCAGAGTCGTCTGAACACCTTAAGCAGCGAGAAATCTTCGAATATTTTGTACGCAACTCGCTCCCGTGAAATTTATGATGGTCCTACAAGACTGGACTACATCGACACACTCCCAGCCTAAAGATAGAAAGTCAGGTGGTAGGACGTGTTGACCACTTCACTTATTTGGGAAGTTGCATCAGCCTGTCAGCGCCAACGGGTTCATCGTTGACGAAATTTCAGCACAGATACAGAAGGCTCACTTCGCATATGCCCACCAACTTACGCCGTCTCTGGAGTAGATGTGATATCCGGCTGGCTGTCAACCAAAGGCCGTGTGTAATGCTCAGTAGTCCGCTCCGCCCTCCTTTGTGGATGTGACTGAGACATGGCCATGGAAGAAATGAAAAAGGTGTTTTTGATCATAGGAATCTGTGTTCTATCTCCCGTGTTAAGTGTTATAATAGGGTGAGCAATATTGAGATTAGGCTTCGGTTGAGGGTTAGCTAAGGAGGAGGGGAAATAAATTGACAATGTTGTGAATTTACGTCGATTGAGAGAGGTGGTTACGATATGTGCTACGCATGACTCGCCTAGCGTAGTCATCGATCGCCTTCCTCGACAACGGGCAATGTTAGCTGACTGGCATAGGATGCATCAGGTTCCAAAAGAGAAAGCTAGTGGTAGTCAAATTAAAACATGGCTTTATCAGTCAATGAAATAAATCCACAACAGTTAGTTTAAGCCAGCCTGGCAGCCACGTATGGAGATGAAGGCTTTGTGACTGGTTGTGGACCTCGGGACGGTAAGAACCAATGACGGTGGCTGGAGACAATTGCTGATATAGCTCAGAATAGTCGTTCTCAATGCTTGGCGTAGATTCATCCGCTCCTTTTTGTACTAAGTTCTGACCAACAGTAATTGTTTTCTTTTGCATTGAATTTATACTACTTATTAAGAAGCAAGTAGCCTATGTTTGTATATTGATTATTATGTCACCAACCCATGGCGAAATAACTGAACATTCCTATTTCAGGTTTGAGCGCAAAATGACTTTAGTCCAGAGAACTACTAGAAGACATGGGAAACAAGGCAGTCGTTTTGTTCTAGTTTCAGACTCCTCAGGAGTCTGTACCCGCGGTATCATCAAGGACCAAATGCACAACTCAAGTTCATTGACCACCCACCCAGCCACTGGGACAGAGTTCAACTGCCCAAGAATTCTAAACTCCGCGAATTCGCAATATACAGCGCGGCCATCAGTCAATGTTATCGACAAGTATGTGTCCTCAAGTCTAACTTTTTTAACCCTACTGGTTAGGGCCCCTCACTAGAACTTCATTTTTTAGTCAGTGTTACTTGTAGTGAACACTTGATTCACTCCCATGTATTGGTTTTCAACGCAGAGACAGAGTTAAGAGAGATTCAGAACAGAGACGGCAAATAAACATAAATATGAGGCAAGAAGAGTAGGAATGTGGAAAATTAATGGAGTTTTATTGGGTATTATTAATCACACAGACTGAATGCATTTGCGATATTAACAGCGATTTTGAGCTGTATCACCAATTGTCCTCAGCCACCGTCATTGGTTTTTACCATTTCGATCACCCTAACTAGTCAGTCAAGAAGTCTACACCTGCCTACGTGACTGGCTTAAACTGTTGTAGGCTTATTTCATTGACTGATGAAGCCATATAAAAGAAAAGAGGGCGTTCAGCGAAGAGACTCTTTACGGAGAATTCATTCACTGAGCTGTACAATCACATTAATATGCAATTTTGTTTGTCTGTGTGTACATTAGATTTATAAAGTTTAGATAATTACGTAATATAAGTATTATTTGGCTTGGAAACAAACGTTAATTATATAGAAAATAAAATAAAATTGATTAAGTGAATTGGATGACGTAATACAATTGAGTAGAATTCAGAGTAGGTCAGGTTGGCAACAGTGTTAATGAGTGGTGGTTAAAACTAAATAAGGGTGGGGGTTGAGAATAATACAGTTGAAAATTAAGTAAGTTAATCGGATGACGTAATAGTTGACTAGAAATTGGACGTGGGTCGAGTTGACAACATTGTTAATGAGGGTAGACATTACAAAAGGATGGGGTAGAGAATAATACAAATGATGAAGCCATGTTTTCATTTGACCACCATGTGCTAGCTCTTTTCTAACTTGATCCATCCTATACCAGTCAGCTAACATTGGCTCTTGTCGAAGAAGGCGATTGATGGCTAGGCTAGGCTAGTCATGCGTAATACATATCCTATTCATCTCTCTCAATCGATGTAACTTCACAACATTGTCGATTGATTTCCCCTTCTTACCTAGCACTCGACCGAAGCCTAACCCCAATATTACTCACCTATGATACCACCACCTAACACGGGAGATAGAATACAGACACAAAATGATCAAAGACAGCCAGCTAGCTAACCTTTTTCATATCTTCTACTTACAATGACCATTTTTCACTCACAGGTATAAAAGAGGACAGGGTGAACTGCTGAGCAGTACACACGTCTTTTGGTTAACAGCTAGCGAGTCAGTTGGATATCACGTCTACTAAACCAGAGATGGAGTAGGTTGTTTGGCAAATGCCAAACAATCCTTCTGTATCTGTGCTGAGATTTCATTAGCGATAAACCTGCTGATGCAGCTCGTCGAATAAGTGAATTGGTCAACACGCTCCACCAACCACTGCATTCCCTATCTTTAAGCCACGACTGAGTCGATTTAGTCGAGCCCAGTTCTGTAGCCTCATCATCTTACATTTGACGGGAGCGAGTCACATGCGAAACATTCGATGATTGCTCACTGCTCAAAGTGTTCAGAAGACTTTGCTTTACTTTGTCAGCGTCTTCACCTAGGAAGGAGGACTATATCATCTGCATATTCTAAGTCAACAAGACGACTATTCCCTGATAGCAAGTGAATCCCTGAGTCGCTGAAGTCAGGGCTAAGTCCATTAACACGTACATCTATGATGAAATTAAACAGAAATGGGGACAGTGGGCATCTTTCTAAAGCAATCGTTAAAAACGCTTCACTTGACCTTTACTAACAACAACAGAGAACTGCTCTATGTTTGTGTAAAAGATAAGCTCACAAATACTGATCGCTTTAATGTACATTTACCAGTCCACCTACTTCTGTGGAATAAGGTACACAGACGATTGTCAGATAGTTTTTTCTACACAGAAACGAGAATATTCCACTATGTCTTTAAGACGGATAAAGTATGCCTAACAATGGTTTCTAGATTATTTAAACAATACATATTATTATTGTTGTTCCCTTGGGTTCCTAGTGGAACATAGGGCTTCAGCTACACGTCTCCACTTGCTTCTGTTTTCTGCTGTACCTTTCACCTGCATCCATGTTAGTCCATACTGTTTCAACTCCTATTCACACGATCTCCTCCATGTCACCATTGGACGTCCCACTCGCCGCTTCCCTTTCGGGTTCCACTCGAGCACTGGCCTGACGCGCAATGTCACCCAGCGACCTCCTTAGCGGGTGTCCAACCCATCTCCACTTTCTCCTGCATATTTGTTGGGCGATTGGTTCTTGTTTTGTTTGTTCCCATAGTTTCTTGTTGGTGATTCTTTCCGGCCATCTGATCTTCAGTATAGAGCCAGCGAAGACAGTTGTTGATAAAGGTCTGCAACAGGCTGTTAGAAATATTCTTTGTGACCTGCCGCCAAGTTTCTGATCCGTATAGAAGAACTGACTGACTTGACGTTTGTATTGAAAATCCGAATTTCGTTGTTGATGCAGGCTGAGTCACGAAGATTTCCAGATTGGTTACAGGTTGATGAATGTGTTTCTCGCATTCCCGATTCTCGATTTGACATCTTCGTCTGTTCCTGCTGTAGTTGAGACAATGCTCCCTGGATAAGTGAATGAAGTAACCTCTTTCAAATCCCTCCCGTTGATGGTGATTGTCGCTGGATGTTGCTGCTGTTGTTGTTGTTGGTTGGTTATTTTCATAACCTCCGTCTTGTCTATGTTCACCTGGAGTCCTGTCTTTGCTGCTTCCTCGACCAGTCTGTCGGTTTTCGCTTGTAAGTCTTCGTTTTTGTGTGACATTAAACATAAATCATCGACGCGCGAAATCTAGGTCTTCTAGGTTCTTCACGTCGGTCCAGGATATCCCTGTCTTCTCGTTTCCCACTTTCTGACGCATAATCCAGTCCACCACAATTAGGAATATCATTGGTGATAATACATAAACAATACATACATACAATTTAATTTTCAACTTCCAGAAACAATAAATATCTTGGCTATTCCTACACACTGAAGCCAGACTTCTGTATACAATCCATCTTTTCGCCTAAATAAGTGCTTTCACACACATATATCCTAACCTTATTTGCTACCTATCACTTGAAGACACTAATTGGCTTAAGTGCTCAACTTTCAGTCAACAGAGGTCGCAAGTTCGAATCCCTACCCCAACTAATCCAGTCTAGGCAATTAAATAGTATGTATCACCAGCCCTCACATCATAAGTGTAGCTTATAGCCTAGAAATATGAAGGACCTGTTCTGGGAATTGAGTTCAAACAACACAACATCATTCAATTATTTAATTCAATTTTAGATTTCCCCGTCGACTGATTGATTGGACCGAAGTGCTCGGCCTAAGGTTGACACGTCGGCTTCTTGTGAAGATGCTCCAACAATGTCTAGGCATGTAATTAGAAGTTAACTGGTGGATGGTGACTAGCAGTGGAATCCAGGATAATGCGCATTTCATCCTATTTGGGACTGGCTCATCAGCTGGGTAATGATGTTCTTAATGCGAAATGCAAGTACATCCAGATGACGAATCCCAAATAGGACGAAATGCGCGTTATCCTGGATTTCACTGCTAGTCACCATCCACCAATTAACTTCTAACATCATTCGATGTTTAACAAATAACACTATTACTATTCTTGTTATTATTACTGTAGCGTGATGCGAAATGAAGTATTTGTTCCTCAAATCTCGATTTAGTTTACCTTGTGAACATGGAGTAACTTCATTGGACAACCTTGTTTAACCTTGAATCGATTGCCAGCCAATCAGAACAATTTATTCTCTTCTGACCTAGCCAAACTTAACTGTGGCTGAGAATGTATAAATATGATGAATTTTTCCTTAATAAAGTTCCGTTACCGAGTCTCTTTTCTTCTCTGGATATACTCCTACTCGCATTCATTGTTTAGAAATTTTGTCACAATTTTCGAAATATCAAATATATACGAATGAATAAGGAGAGAACGTGGGCGCTGTGGTAGAATATAATTCCATCACAGAGTAAATTTATTTGATAAAGTCTCACAGTTTGATTGGACACTAGTAACTAGTGTTATGGTGCATCGGTGGTATAGCGATTAACACGCTCGCCGACCATGCACATGGTCCGGGGTTCGATCCCCGGCCGACGCCGCACTCCTTTACCTCGCTAAGCCAGTAATAAGACTGGTAAAGAGGAAAGGTTGGGCATGAGGCAGCTAGCAACCCCATCCTGTAGAATAAACACTGCTACAGAAACTTCAAGTCACTAGCTTGAAGCCCTATGTTCCACTGGGGAACGTGAAGGAAAAAAAAACTAGTGTTATGTGTCTAGTCCTTTGTTTGGTGCAGATTGAATTCTATCAGTCAAGTTTGCGATGTGGCCACCATTCCAGATAGCTAGCTCGCCATCACGGTGCACATTAATTTGATGATATTATATGGTTGGAGGCAATCGACCACAGGAAGCCTTGGATGCAACCTAGGTTTCGTGCTAGTTGACATTCACCAGTGAAGTTAGAGCTACTTACCATACGGATCAAAGAGTTGGCGCGTCATGAAGGCCACTTCGAACAAACTACAGACCTTCATCAACAGCTGTCTTCGATTAATACTACTCAATATCAGATGGCCGACCAGAAAAGATCACCAACACAGGGATCTCTGGCAATGAACGAACCAACCCAGCAGGAACTAATTGTAAAACAAATATGCAGGAAGAAGTGAAGGTGGATTGGAGGCTATACTCTGAGAAAACAAACCATCAAGTAACATAACACGTCAGGCTGTTGAGTCAGTTGGTCGTCCGAGGATAACATGGAGGAAGAGGAGATGAAAGCATGTGGGAAGCCGTGGAGGCAGGTGAAAAAATAGGCGGAGAACCGAGTGCAATAGAGATGTGCGACTGAAGCCCTATATTCCCCTAGGAACTAAAAGAGATAATGATAATGGAACTTTCAAAAGTTTTTTAAAAAGAAAAGACTCATAAGTTTTCAATGGATTAATATTTTATTCTTACCTAAAAAAAAAGTACAAAAAGAAATAACAAAACTAATTTGTTTTTTTCTCAAAAACAATGTGGCTACCTTCAATTTCAATTCATTGAATTAATCAGCAAAGCGCTGACAACAGAATCTGCACAGATTTCATGCATATCTGCCTTACACTCAGGCAATATTAATAATAAGTTCGTATCAAGACAACTAGCTAAACGTGAACTCATTTGACTGCCCATAGATTCACACGAGGCACAAGGTATAGAAGCCGGTTGAACTGCACCACTCGGATCATGTTTCCAAATCAATTTTGCCCGTCGATAATCTGGACGATCGCTTAGCTTTACTGTATGCAACAGTCGGACTTGAATAATTGGAAAACACCATTCCTCTGGTGGTTTTGCATCCAATTTTCGTAACAATGGTAAAACAAACAAATGTGTTGTCACATAACATGACACCGGATTACCTGGCAGACAGAATACTAGTACAGATTGTTGACTTAAGTTTGTCGTTGCATTAGTAGTAGTAGTACATCGAGGTACAGACAGAAATGTTGTCGGTTTTCCAGGTTTCATAAAAACACGACCAAAATGTAGCGTTGCCTGGAATTCGTCGACCAGTATCTGACTGATAATATCCCGTTCACCCATACTAACACCGCCTGAGGTGATTAGGATATCACATGAAGCTAAAGCTCTAGATAAGCCTGTATACACAGACTGTCGATCATCTGGGAGAATTCCAAAATCAATAACATTATGATAATTATGCTGACGTAACAGATTGATTAGGACTGGACGATTACTGTCTCTTATACAAGGTCTGATTTCAGGAACAACACCGTCGAACACTTCATTCCCAGTTGATAGAACACCAATAGAGTATTGTTTCAGACAAGGTAGATATCCACCTTGGGAGAGATATTTCATCACTGGTATAGGAATTGGATCTTCCCTGTCTTCAAGAATATCTGTATAGTTAGTTGGCCAAGGTGTCAACAAGCCAGCAGCAGAAATCAGACCCAGTTCCACTGGACCAAGACGCAGACCTCTCTTGAAGATATCAGATTTCTTTAGATCGAAACCCCGTGGACGTATAAATTGATTGACTTTTTCAGGTGGAACTGTCACTTCAATAATATCTTCCTCCTCCTCTTCAGTGGATTTACCATCGGTCTCAACAAACCGTTTAGAAATAAGCTTTGTATGCTCCACCGGAACTACACAATCTGCTCCTGGGGGAATAGGACCACCTGTACTGACACGAACACATGTACCTGAGGTGACAACCAATCCATTTTCACTTTTCAAGTTAGAATCACCAGCACACAATGCTCCGATAACTTTCAACTGGCCGCCAACACCACCATCTTTAAATTGTATAGCATATCCATCCATAATACTTGCATCGAACGGCGGGATGTGTTCACGTGCTTTAAGACTTCGACCTAGTACTCGATTTAAAGCATTTTTATGAAATACTGCTTCAATCTCGATTACATTATTATTAGAAATTGTGAATATTTTCTTCAGTGCTTCATCAACTGATATCATTGGATGTTTAGACTGTCTACAACGATTAACAACACTACACGCGTTTGTTAAAATACTTTTACACGGATTATGATTATACTGATTTGAATGTTCTTGTTTAACAAGCTGATCCCAACCTTTAATTTGATGAATAGCGTGTTTCATTACCGGGAGGATAGTTGGAATACACTGTGACGCTGCCTGTACACTACCGGGTAGTGTTATCAATAGGGTATGCTCATAGACACCGGCTACAAAACGTGATAAAGCAGCCATTGGGGTGTGCTGAAGAGATACTGAATAAAGACAGTGAACAATACCAGGTAGACGTTGGCTTTCAGGAATTAGTTGAAGAATTACATCCGAGGTAACATCTCGACTAGATAGACCTGTACCGCCTAAGGTGAAAATCACTTCAACCTGACTGCTAGATTTTATCCATTGTATAATTTTAGAACGAATAGCATGCTTATCATCTGGAACACAATCACGTAACGGGATATCGAATCCTGCAGCTTGAAGTAATTGTTCTGCGACTGTACCACTTTTGTCAAGTGAAATATCCTTGGAACATGTATCACTGACGGTTAGAATTCCCACAGAGAAACGTGAATCTGTAAAGAAATCATGTAAGAATAACCCTATTATTTGTAAAGTATTTAGACAAAGCAATAAGAAGACGTAATTTGTCTGAATCGTGCGTGTAATGTTGTATTTGCGCAACACATTTAGAACAATCTGATCACACACGAACTTGTCATAGGAATATATACATATATATATATGAAAATAATAAAGAGTTAAGAAGTGAGAAAATAAATTTAAGTCGATTTAAAAGGACATATTGAAGGTCAATATAACAGTGAAGATCAATAAACCAAATAACAGAGGTAATAGTACATCTAGCCTGGCTGGTAGCAAAACAAACTTTACCAAGGAACGTTTAGTGTAATGACGAATTGTTTTTGAATGCATAAAGGTGGTTTAAACTTTCTAATTGGCAGCTAGGGCTTCCACAAACTTTAGGATACGCCCTTCCCCAAACACGTTTTATAGATTGGTTTAAAAGATCTGTTAACGTCAATTTTAGGTCCTGTCTCTATAGTGTTTCTTAATAGAGGAGCTAGGTTTCCTTTTCTCCCAATTAATGGGTTCTGAAGATTCCATTTGTTTCTGGAGCCATTTAGGGATATGCTCTGAAGCCAGCCCTTACTTGCAGAGATCGATGCGTCCTTCCTATGTATGTGGTAAATACAGTGAGGTGTGACATCATTTCTCGCATGTTCAAAGGGCTTAGATGGATATATTGGCTTCACATTCTCAATTATTATGATATTAGCTGCATAAAAAGTCTTTTTAACCACAGTGTTCAATCTTTGTCTAGTTATCAGGCTGTCTGCTATGATGCCCATATAGGGTAGGTAGCTTGATGTACACGTCTTTCTTAGAGGCGAGTTGGAGAGTGAGTGGGTCTTGTGGTGTTCCACTGACCACTTTATATCTCCTGATGAACTTGTCTGGATAATTTTATCAACCAGAGTTTGTGTCAACTTTCTTTCTTCCTCATCATCAAGTGTGTCTATCTTCAGTGCATATTCGTTGGATTCTACTGAAGAGTCACCTTACTAAGGCTTTTTTGTACCGAACAGGGCACAAAATCTGGTAAGTAAGATGTTGTCCTATCCAGGTAGGTTTTCTATAAATAGATCAAGCCGTCGACTAAGCAGTATGTCTAGGAGAGATAAACAATTATCTTCCTCTTCTACAGACAGATGTAAGTGATATGCTATTCTGAACTTTATTCATTCGATTTAAAATTGAGGTGGCAGAACAAGACGCTTATCACTTATATGATTACAATATCATCTACATACCTTCAATAAAAAAGTGGCATATTGTCGATTAAATCCTCCGATAAACTCTCAATGTACGACATATGGAGAGATATCTGCTAAAAAGGGGCCCTAACAGACTTCCTATGACAAGTCGGTGTGTGTGTGTGATCAGATTGTTCGAAATAATTGGTGAGCAAATACATTACACGCATGATTCAGACAAATTACGTCTTCTTATTGCTTTGTCTAAATTCATAAAGGGAACTAATTGTTTTAAATTATTTAGAATTACACCTAAAGTTGTGTAAAAACAGGGCATCAATACTAGTATGCTGCACAAGAGGAGTTTGAAGTACTTAAAATTTAATACAATATCAATAAGCAACGAAGAGCCGGCTAAGTGGGGAGTTAAATTCAAGTAGTGGTCTGTTAACGAAAGTCTCAAATGTGTCCAGATGACCGTAAACAGAAGTACACAATAAAATAACGATGCAGTTTGGCAACTGGTGTAATATAATAATAAATAATAATATTATTATTCCCTTGGGTTCCACATATGGCTTCAGCAGCACATTTCCATTCCCTTCTTCTTCTTCACCAAAGTCTTCCTTGGTTGGCCAGTTAGTTAGATGTGTTTGGCCCTAGGTTTTTTGGTTGATTTTCAGCCTGACAGAAATCCTTGTTGCATATCCTTTCCATTTGGTCATCCGCCCGACCGATAGCTGCCACATTGACGTGGTGGTCGGGCTTCCATATCGCAATGACCCAACAAGCTACACTGGCTGGAACTATCGTCCCTGCAGGTCCTACCATGCCAGGAAGGTTGTTAGAATAGTGATTAGACTAAAAGCAGTTGCTGCCAGCATAGAGTAGGAATTTTTTTACACTATGCTTGGGGTCTGTGGGCGAAGTTGTACTTCTGGGGAACAGGGACGTAACAGCCACAGGAAGGTGTTTCCCTCAGACGACCAGGATGCCAGCCAGCTATGCTGTCTCTCCACTCTGGACAGAGTTAGTGTGGTTAGAAAATGTCGACCCTAAAAATTGTACATCCGCACTTACCTCACCTACAGTGGTCCGTAATCGGCGGTAAATCTACTAATACGGCACCAATCCAAGAAACCAGTTCATACAGGCCGTGTGTGACCGGCCGGCCTCAAGCAGTTGTCCCCTGGGCTGTGGGGTCACGCAGTACTAAGTCTGTCTTTTTCTGTTTCAGGTACCCGAAGAATTAAATAATATTTTTCTGGTGACGTATACATCTACAGCTGTCTTCACCGTGTCGACAATGAAGATCAGATGACCATCAGTGAAGGATACACAACAATGAACTCTGAAAACGAATCAACCGATAACCAATGGACCAAGAAATATGCAGATGGAAGTGTAGACAGACTACATATATACTGAGAAGACGTTTCAGTGACATCAGGCGTCAGGTCCTCGAGTGGAATACGAATGGGTAGTTACAAGTTAGGTGTCGGTCAAACAGACTTTGGTAAAATTTATCTAAGTAACATCAGAATCAGAATTTATAAGTGTGAGGAAGGACACTACCTAGTGAGATCGATGTGTACTGTAGCCAAGTAGGGCTTAACTGAACAATACATGGATAACTAAGACACAGTCTAGCAGAGTGCTCCGTGCTTTGAAAATTAACGCCATACACAGACCTGTACAACCGAGAGACCTTGCTACTGGGACCTCGTATAGTTGTAGTCTTATAACCTTAGCCAGACGAGGTACAGTATATAACTACACTAAGGTCACATTTGTATTCCTCACAAACATATTACACAACAACTATCCAAAACACCGAAGATATCAAGTATACCAGTTTACACATTAAAATGCTTAGGATAATGGGCATTTATTCTATGGTAGGAGATAAAGTTAAAAAAGTAAGGAGGATTGCGTATGAAATTTAAATAGGTAATGTGAACTGACAAGTGTGAGTGGTCATTTGACACTTTATGGTAGCTCACACCATGGTTTTATACGAAAGAAATTAGTTGGTTTTTGCATGATGACAAAAACTTCTGCTAGAAATCGGTTATCCAGAAACTATTTGAAAGTGAAGATGGTCATATTGTCAATGCGAAAATCCTTATCGGGTTGGAAGGACAATCAGTGGCGATAAGAAATATTTGTGACCGAATATCCCAAACCCATCTGCAAATCAGAAGCGTACTATAGCTGGATTGATGACAGCTAAGCAGAAATATTTCGCTGTTTTCACACGACTTCTATTAGAAGTACGAACTTGCTCTCAGGTCCCCCAAACACTAAACAGTCGAGACTACAGCTGCAGATCATCGCATATCGGTTTATTCTCTGTAGCACAGAATGACCTATACAGACAATCGTTAGTCACTATAGCACGTTTGGTCAGATCAAGTCATCACAAGGTAGTGCCTGTAGTCCGTGATCTATGAGTGTGAAAGGAAATATACTACTGTAGGCTAATACACAAGAAATTCCTTCAAAGCAATCAAAACCTGCCTTTAACTTCAATACCAGCAAGAAATAAACAGGTATTTCTACTAATCATAGCATCACGAGAAAAGGGATTTTATATACTTTGTGAAAATATATAGATTTTAAAAAAGTACAAAATCATACCAGTCATTCCTTCAGTGGATTACACGAAAACTTTTTCAGTCAAGCCAATAATCTCTGACTTGAGCGTAGATGAAATCTAAAATAATAATTAAGAGTAATTTACTTTGAGTTCAATAAAGAGGCAAAATAAAAATTTAGAACAGCATAAACAAAAGTAAATCGTATTGTGAAGTTCTCATAAGGTTTTGAGTAATCATACCAAAACATTTAGGGGTAACAAGGCGGGAATCCATCCCAAAGAATCTGCGGATACAACTCGTTAACAAAGCTGCAACTTTCTTTAGACGACCATTGTCAACCGACTTTCATTGTTTCATGTAAAAATTAGGTAGCCTCTTTAAGTACATATGGATTGGTTTTTCTGAGCCGCTGGAATTTTAGGAGGCCTAAGAGTTTCCAGGAATGTGTAGATATAGTCCTGCTATAAAACTAGGCATCCTACTAAAAACTCATATTGTCCTGTAATGCATATATGTATCACAGCTAGCATTTTCTCCAGGCACACTGCATAATTTTTGAGGCAAAATCTTCGGGCGCATTGCAGAGCGTGGAACAGTTAATTTCAGTTTGCTCCAAAGTTTATGCAGTGTGTTCGAAGTCAATGCTAGCTGGGTATTTACTACCCTCAGACCACACCATAGATTACTATGAAATAACGCCAGGTCGGCTTACCGATATAAGGCAGAAACAGGATTTTAAAAGTGTAGCAACAATTAAAATACATCATATCCAGTCAGACCAGGAAATCAATTATAAATATAGTCCTTAAACATACACAAGAGGCGGAAAGTAGAGTAGCAATTACTTCGAAACGGTGCAAAATTATTGTTCAATTTACAACAGCAACATCCAATATCCAATATCTTGATTACGAGCTAGTATAAACCAGTGATTTCTTTGAGCTCGCTTCTTGATTGTAAGGTAGAGGTTCCAGATCTTCGGTGAAATTTTGCGGAGTAATCCCGCCACTCGACTGCTTTAGCTCTGGTAGACTCGAAGAGGAGTGGTGCGGGGATTGGTCAAAATGTGCTTTGTAGTATGCAGTATGTTAGGACTCAGCTGCTGCCGTGAATGGAGTTTGACCTAACACCTGTTGGTCATTCGGTGTAGTCATAAAAGCAGAATAGTAATAATAATAATAGGTTGTAGTGTAGATAATATAGGTTGAGATAAGTGAAACAATAAAGGTGACCTAAGGAAAAGATAGAGTAGTCGGTACAGTGATAGAAGACAGAACGGGTCGTAGGGATTTAGTTTGTATGCTTATCCATTGACAGTGTAGTTTTAAATTTTAAGAGGATAAGCCATTGAGACACAAACCATGCATTTCTGCATGATTGTCCAGCTTCAGCTTAAAAGTCTCCACAGATGGCGCTGTAGTCACGGCCGCCGGTAAAGCGTTCCAGAGACGGCAAACTCGAAGCGAAAAGAAATGTGAACGCATTCGAGTCTTTGGTCTCTGGTGTGCTATCCTTAGCGGGTTACCTCGTGGAGGCCTATAATCACTTAATGGCAGGATGCTTTTATTAGGGTGGGCCTTGTCATTTAAGATCTTGTAGACGGTGATGAGGTCTCCCTTGTGACTACGGTAATTAATTGTGAAAAGACTTAATTTCTTCAGTCTTCCCCCGTATGATTTGTTGCGGAGGCCGATCACCCATTTTGTCGCTCGTCTCTGGACACTTTCTAGAATGTTAGCATCCCTTTTGAGTAGTGGAGGAGCAATGATATTATGCTCCTCAAGGAGTGGCCTCACGTATGTCTTATACAACCTTAAGAATAGTTCGGGAGTAAGAGATACCAGCTGCCTATGCATAAAGTGTAAAGTTCCGTAGGCTTTGGCGACGTCCGTCATATAATTTACGCTGGTGTCTAGCTTTTCTGTTAAAAAAGACCTAGGTCGCGCTCTGATGGCACACAACTCAAGTTCTAGCCACCAAGGGTGTAATTTGCACTCTGTGACCTGCCGGAATGAAGTTGCACTACTTTGCGCTTCTTTAGGTTGAAAGGCATTCCGTTAGCCGGAGCCCAGTCTCCCAGAGTTTGCAGGTCAGCCTGCAATCTGTCTGAGTCTTCCGATGAGTTTATTGCCCTCCGAATCTTTACGTCGTCAGCGTAAAGAAGCGCAGAGCAGTTCAGTTGGAAGGGCAGGTCGTTGATAAAAATCAAAAACATCAACGGCCCTAAGATAGAACCCCGAGGAACCCCTGATGCCAAGGTGTGCCAGGGTGGTCGGATGCGGTTGACTTTGGTGCAGAATTGTCTCTCGCCTAAATAATCTTCCAGCCATGCGAGAGGTGCTCCAGAAACACCCACCTTGCTTATTTTGTGAAGGAGCAGACGATGGTGAGCTGTGTCGAATGCATTCGCAAAGTCGAGAAAGATCACATGGACTGGTGCCTTTACGTCCCAGGATAGTGTTCAATCGTTCCAAGCTAGTAGAAGATTCGTCGCACAGGATCTTCCCCTCCTGAAACCGTGCTGTGCTTCATGGAGTAGGTGAGTCCCGTCGAAGTATTTTCTCATGTGGTCGTCAATGAGAATTTCCAATATCTTCGATATCACTGGAAGTAGCGCAACTGGTCTGTAACTGGTCGCATTCTGCCGGTCACCACCCTTGAAGATAGGGGATAGGATGGCTCATTTCCATTCAGATGGAAGCTTCCCTACATCAAAGGAGCGTTGAAACAGATCGCTTAGGGTTTGGCAGAGACTTTCTGAACACTACTTCAGGATGGATGGTCTGATGTCATCACAACCTGCAGACTTTCCCGAAGTCAACTTTCCCAATTTTACGAGTACCATAGCCGGGTTAATTTGAAATGTACCCAGCAGGTTTTCGCACGTTAGTTTCGCATTGTAATCTTGATGTTTTGTGGGGGTAAAATCCTCGTTACTGTTTAGTTGCCTGTGAAAGGCTAGACTGAATGTCACTGCCATTTGAGGACCAGTAAGAGATTTCCCATCAGAACATGCATTATCGCTGTACATTTTCAGGCACACTGATTACTGAATGCTTTTTATATTATGCATAAAACGTTTTCACATGTTTGTTAAGTTCTGGTACACATGCTCTTTCCATTAAGCTTCAGTAACACTTTCTATACTGGGTTACTGCAGATTTATTTTGTTGGCAATTTTATAATTTATCTTGAGATGTTGCCTGTTCAGACATAGGCAAATATTGTGTCACCATACGTAGTAGTAGTAGTAGTCAAGAATACGCTAGTGAAGAAATAACTATGATTCATCCGCTTAATTGCTCTATTAGCATCTCTACTTATGTTTCCATGAGTAAATGCCTCCTCCATGGAAACTTGAGGTTTTTCATATTTGTAGGCTATTATTAAGTTTGCCTTAGTTCTACAGTAAATGCAACATTTGCGTCTTGTCTTCGTACTGTCTTTAACTTAGCATAACAGGCAGTAAACCCAGTGAGGATAATAATTCGATCGCTCCCAATATGAAATATATTTCGAGATCGGTGATGTTTATCCTAGATGCGTGCCGGATTAGTTGGAAGTGTAGCAAGAAAAACCGAGGGTAACATAGTAGCGTGCCAAATGTTATGCGTGCTTGACGACATACCTTTAGATTGACCAGCCCTACATAGATAGGAATAAATATATATTATTAACATTATTATTATTAACAGTGGCCTGCATCCAATTTGAATTTATGGTGAAGCTTTAAGTGAAACACGTCCAGGAATATTTAACTTTCACACAGAACAACATTACAGTTATTGTGTAACTTAGCGCAGCTCGTGTATTTTTTATTAATAACCCATTCCTTACTTATTATGTGACTTATTCCCTCACTTATGAGATCAATAGTAAAATTTATTGTAAACAGCCAAAACTAGAATGGGAATATTTGAAGATTTAAAACTAGAATAGACATTTCAAACTACTGGCTGTAGATATGAGAGATTTTGTGCTTAAATTTTGGATTTAGATTGTCAAGTGGACATGGTGATTCTGTTGGCCAACCTTTAACCTCATAAGAAATAGACGGTCTTATGCAGCTGGAAGTCTAACGTTAATGAACCACATGTCCAAACCCATACGACCAGTCAAATGTGTTTGTTTGGCCTCTGACCTAGAATGAAATTGTGTTTTGGAGGTCTATATGTGACTTATATTCGACTTATGAATCTGTTCCGATGGCCATAAGCCAGTCGTCTTATTGTAATATTTTCATAGTTCAGTGACGCGGTGATGGTAAGCACTCGGTCACCGTAATAAATTCACATAGACTTAATAGCTACATTGCCATAAAACTCCTATGAAGAGGTAATCCGATACAAGTAATGGTTTTCTCACTATGTGCTGGCAAATTTGGTTTAGTTGTTCTGGAGTTGAATGCACAAGCCAGAATTCTATCAGATTATTATCAAGTAAGATCCTTTGTGAACTGAATGACCTAATTCGACGCTCAACAAAAACAAGTTAAGCCAATGTCCTTCTTTTGGACAATATAGGTGCATTTCTTTGACCTATATTGTTTATTCCTTTACAACACGGCATTATACGGACACGCAGATACTGTAAGTGATTAAACAACCCAGGAGGATGGAACGAGCAACCAAGTTGTACTGACCACTCTAAAAGGGCAATATCATAACATACTGCCGGAAACACCAATCAGCAGTTAATATTCATACATCTGTGATGGCAGATGTTCGGAGAGAAACTAGAGCTGTTAGCAACGGAAATTTGAAAATGTCAAACAGTACTTTTTTTTAATAGCAGTAATACAGTAGTAGCTCTATTCTAGACACGCTGTAAAGTGTCGCATCATTCAGGAAGCGAATCCTCATTAATTTTTCACTATATACAGCAAGAAACTGAGCTCTGATACAGATGGAATTCAATGATGAGGTGTTGAGTAGACGTATCCGCTTGACAGCCTAGTGATACTGGTTTCCTGTCTGTTGGTCAGGCAAGCAACCAACCAAATTTCTTCATTGTAGATAAACAGCAAATAAAGTTCGTGTCGACACCG